GGGGTCAGCTTTATCACGACTGGTTGGGAGGGAGGGGGGTCAGCTTTATCAAGATTTGGTGGAAGGGAGGAGGTTGCGAATGTGTGGCTTAGCATGTATTTTCTAAAATGTGTAAATTAACAAAAACGTTTTTTTAAAAAATGATTTCGTTAGAATTATAGTTTGTTGGGGATGATGGGGGTGGGGGTGGGGGGGGGGTCGATATAATTTTTTGTGGCGTCAGGCTTTTTGTGACGACATGTGGCACAAACAACTTCGCCAAAATAATTAATATTTCACCTGCTACACCGAACTGGGGGCGGTGCAGTCGATTGATGGAGCGTCTGACTGCTAGCCCGATGGTTCGGAGGTCGGATCTCGGTTCGGACCTGTGACTGTAGAACATCCCTGAGTCCACCCAGCCCTGGCCAGACTGTCACCTCATATGCAGAGGTCAAGAAACATGAATTCTACTTCACCTACCCAATATTATTTACATTCCTTGCTCTATGTTATTACAATTTATAACATAAAAATATTTTTTTAATAAATGAAAAACAAAATTTAAAAATGTGTAACGCCCCAACCCCTCCCGCTCGTCAAACATTAAGAAACAACCTCTCCCACCTTCAAGGAATGTGAGAGGTTCGGTCCATGAGCACCAATGGCGTCAGCTCATTCGTTGGGGGAGGGGGGAATGCCTCAAAATAGGCCAAAACAAAAATTCAAAAGTCAGCAATATAGAACAGTTCTGTATACCGCCCATACAACATGTAGAACAAAATGATAAACACCCCTACTCTATTAAGTTATTTAATGTACACTACTTAAGAGTAACCACTTAGAGCTTCTAGTGTATTTTCACCATTGAAGCTGCCAGTATGAGAGACAGCTGATTCTTCTGATAAATTTCTAAAGAAGTATAAATAATATGTGTTTATTCATCTACCTACTTCTCGCCGGCGACATTCTGCTTTCAGACATAATATGGTCCACCACATTTGTCTTGGTAGACCGAATGTCGAGGTAGATCTAACGTTTGTAGACTAAACGCCTGTACACTGTACACTATTAATGTCTATAGACCAAATCAGTGGCGTAGCGAGGTCGGGTGTCACCCGGTGCGGCACTTAATGGTGTCACCCCCCAGAGGCGTAGCGACCCTTCCCGGGGACAAACTTTCAATTTTCGATTGAACCCCCCCCCCCTCAAACTTTCGATTTGCACCCCCCCCCCCTCAAACTTTCGAATTGCACCTCTTAAAACACTATTTACCACTCGACTTAATCACTTAATAAAGTGGAATTATCATTTTTCTCTATATATTTTGTGATTTGTTGCCTTGGTGTCACCCCCCATAAATGGTGTCACCCGGTGCGGTCCGCACCCCCCGCGTCCCGCCCCCCCCCCCCCCCCCCCCCCCTCGCTAAGCCTCTGGACCAAATATCGGTAGACCAAATGTCGGTAGACCAAAAGTCTGTTAACGAATTATCGTGCTAACGGTATAAACATGTCTAGAAGGGGGGGGGGTAGTGGAGGTGGAAGCGGTAGTGCTTTGGGAGAAGTCCCAAGTCCCATTCCCTTCCCTCCCCGAGAGAGGCATGCAATAAACATTGTTTAAAAAAAGTAGCCTATAAGAATCCCCCTCCCCCCCCCCCCCCCCAAAAAAAATACCCTCCATGATGAAAAAATGTGAACACTGGTCCCCAATGCTTTATCAATAGATCTAACGACAAGGCCAAGGCCAAAGATGCCCCCAGTTTTTTTTAATGCGCTAATGTATGGCAAGTTACGTTGGAGTGAGATTGTGACCTTTGCTCTTATACATTTGCATACATAGGTATCATAACACAAACTAACTGGAAGTGTTGTGTCATGACGGCTGTTCCAAAAATAACCAAGTCTAGAGCATGAATGGTTATTTACTGTCGTTAGCGCATGCGCCTCTATCTGATGTCTTCAGAAAGTAATCAGTGTCGGCGCCTTAAATTCTTTTAGTGCCGCCTTAATGGTATTCAATTTAGATTCTACACATCAGTAAGAACAATATAATGTTGCGTAGCCCCTATAAAATGGTGGTTTAACTTCAACACCGAGAAAAAAAAGTAATCATTATATATATATATATATATATATATATATATGTATATATATATATATATATATATATATATATATATATATATATATATATATATATATATATATATATAAGAATGTAGACCTATTTAAACGTGTGCAAGCGACGGCGCATCTTTCGTTTTTAATAACGTTATTATTATTATTTTTTTTGCACGTTAATGAAATTGCGATATCTAAAATATGTAAGTACTATTATTATATTGTGTGTGTGTGTCTATTCATAAGCACCACAGCATTTCAATTTGTGAAACGTTTCTCTCTGCATCTGCCACCCCCCCACCACCCGCCTCCGAGCGAAAGAGAAACCCCCCACTTCCGGAAATTCTAAGTGCACCCCCATTTCTAGGAAGTTTCAAGTGCCCCACCCCAGGAAAAAATCTCTGAAAGAAACCCTGATGAGTTTGTGTAAAGTATAGATATAGATTTAGATGTATTCTTTTGCCAAGTATCGTAGGACTAAACATACAAACACATCTCAGAAATTTTAAAAATTGAATTAATTAATGGGGTGGGTATAATAATAAAATAATAATATATAGTTTGCCTTCATGGGCTTATGAATAGGCTGCATGCATGATACACACAGTGTTTCTTCCAGACTTTTTTCTGCGGGGGGGGGGGGGGATGGGCGGTAGACTTTCTTCGGGGGCGGACACTGTTAAAAGTATATATTTTCTATTTTCCCCGAAGAGAAGCCTGGAAGAAACTCTGGTTTGTGAAAATTAATATTTATTAAAGTTGACCCACGTGAAGAAATGCTCACATTTGTAGAGTATCAGTAGGATTTAAAAAAAATCATTATCAAGTTGATTTTTTTTCCAGTGATACGCCCATGTACGTTAAAATATTCATTGTGTAAGTAGTGAACTCAAATCGTGACCTTTAACCTTCGGAAGAGAGGCGGGGCGGAGGTGTGACCAACGAAAATGAAGAGATTCGCTAAGCCTAGAGCGGCGGTCCAATGCCAAGAGCTTCTAGTCACGTGACTTACCCAGTACTGTTTATAAACAGCTGAGCAGACACCGGCTCTACATTGTGAGAAATTTGTGTGTAAGGTGTTGAGGAGCTCGTATTGGTATTTGAAGTTGCATCGCATCTATTATTAACTGGTAAGTGCATTTGATTGTGATAGAAACAGCATGTTTTAGTATTGTATTTAATTATTGTAGATTCATACATATTAATCCATAAATTATTTGATCAGGTATCTAAAATATTAAATATCCATGAATTGAAAAATGAGTGAATCGATTATTTTATACATGACCTGAATCGAAAAATTAAATACCCGGCTGGCGTAATACTGGTATCAAATAATATTTATTATGCCAACGGTGGTTTAGTTAATACTTATTTATCATGTAAAATAAACAAAGTGAAATAAACTTAGTTAGACATAAAAAAACCCATTCCTCTGGGTGATTTTTTACAATAAATTAAAATTAAAAGATTATGCATCAACAACAGCATGCAATTTTTATGACAACAATTTCTAAATCTTTAAACATTTAAAATAAGTAAACGGCAAGTAGATCTAGTCTATGTTTTAAACGGTAGCTTGCTTGATAAAAGCAAAATATTAAATAACATTAGCACTAGAATCTAGATCTAGATCTACATTCACTACAGGAACATTTTTATGTTGTATGATAGTAGTGATTTTATTATATTTATAAGTCTTAAGTTATATAATCTAGATCTATATCTATATCCTCTAAAAAAAACAGAGATAGACTGTCATTAAATCAGAAGTTAAAATCTGTCTCTGTTAACTTGGAATTCACATGGGCATGGCATATGCAATTTCTTCTAGTTTCTAGCCTAGCCCTAGATCCCAGCACCTATGACCTTGACATAACAAAAATGGGTCAACTATTTATATAACAGGTGGTTATATAAGGTCACACTTTATATAACCGATTTTGCGTCTAGTTCACTTTTTACCCATTGATTGTTACACTAACTGTTCCATTTTTCAGTCTAATAATATTTTTTGAAACAAAAAGTAGACTGTATTATTTAAAAACATAATTAAAAGATTGTTGATTTCATATCTCCCACTTGCCCACCCCAATTAGCCCAATATTCTTAAGTTGAATTTAAAAAAAATAGTAGAATCTATAAACATATGAAGGTAATTCAGTAATTCAAAAAAATAATTCTTCTTTTCTTATAATTGAATTGAAATCAATAGAGATTGAGGCTGAGGATCACTTGATTGAAATTTAATGAAATGCATTTTAGCTCAATTCAAGTATTATTAGATTCTAGATGATTACAAAAAAAAAAAAATAGAAGCGTTGAAATAACATTCTCAAACCTTTTTTTTATAAAAAGAAAACAAAGATTTATAGATTAAATGTTTTTTTTTTTTATTATCTCTTTTTAACTTGGCAGTTTTGTCCCTCCAATATTTTATTATATATTTGTGTTAATATTTGATACTATATTACTATTATGAATGAGTTGCCATGCCATTCATTCAAACAAAACTATAAATTATAATTTTTCTAGAACTGTAAAATTATAAAAATTGCAAATGCAAGTTACCTTAAAAAATGGCTTTCTAACAAGTGTGTCACAAAGTGACAAATTGATATAGCACCCCAAAACAAAACAAAAATTATTCCTCAACTTACTTGATGATGATGTCACCAAACTATTTTATTGGCGAGAGTTCACAATTGGAAAGAAGTGTTTAAGAAGTTCTCCTTTATGATGAGACCAGGTAGCTTAACTACATAGAGAAAAACAGAAGCAACTGCATTTTATTGAAGCCAGTCCCCCTTATGAGTCTGGTTAAAATTATGTAGTAGTAGTTTTGAATATGATATATATTTTATTCTGACTCCATGAGAATATATATTCTTTTGTTCTGTTTTACTTTTAGACTACACAAACTGGTCATAGATCAACCCATCCAGAAGGAAAATGGATGTACTTACAGGAAAGAAAGTCTTTTCATCCTTAACTCCAATTGATCTTTCATCTTGTACCAAAGAGTATGTTTGGCTTTATGAATATGATTTCACACATTTAAAATATTTTCTTCCATTAGTGATATATATGTAAAACATTTTTTTGATTTATGCTTTAGTTCATTGAGGTTATTTAGCAAAAAATTCACATTATTTTGAAGTTCAGTAATGGCTTTTAATTTAAAAAGTGAAGTTCCCTTTCAAACTTGATGGTCCATGGGGCAAGTGAAGTAGAGTTCACTTGTTTCTGTACCTCTGCCTATCAAAGGATAGTGTGGTCAGTACAATGCCCAGGCACCTTTATTTTCCCTAATGTATGTCAGGTACCCATTAGAGCTGGGTGGACTAACTGTAAACTGTTATTAACAATTTGTTTTTCAAATATCTTTTCAGAAAGATCATTGAGTATTTCAACAACAGTTATGATCTAAATGAGAGCATCTTTCTTGGGTTGAAAGGTTAGTACAATCTTTTTAAAAAAAAACAACACATTTTTGACAAGTTTTTCAAAATGAAATTTGAAAATGTTTAAATCAAGTAAAAACTGCTTTAATAATCTATAGCTGCTTACCTTGCTTTACCATGTTGACTTCTAACAAATTAGATGACTCTGTGTTCTACAAGTGCCCTGACCGTCTAAGGTTGCCCTTGATATTTTACTATGCACACACTGCAGCTGTCTATGTCAATAAGTTAATGTTGGCTGGTCTCATTAAGGTGATTTTATACAATAATTTTTTGAGTTACCGTGTGAGGAATTATTATTACCTTCCTCAAAATATTTTAACTTTAGACCTGGTTATTAAATTTGTTTGTTTGTTTAGCAATGAAATATCCAAACAGATGTATTGTCTTCTAATCGTTATGATGTATTGAAGAGTTTGATCTGATCTTCTAAGCAGAGTGTAATATAATTGCTCTCTTCTTCATAGTTAAATAGAGCATTTGATGTGAATCCTTAATTATAATTATATATTAAATCTATTCTTTCAGGAAAGAGTAAATCTGGAATTTGAAACTATGTTTGAAACTGGAGTTGATGAAATGAGCTGGGATGATACTGTAAGTTTACAGATTATATCATTACAATCATTTCAATTTATTTAGAAGTGAACACAACTAATTTTCACAGTTCATAAACTTTAATGTATTTTAAATTTTCTAGGAGAATTACCGTATGGGTGGAAGCTACAAGTGGCCTCCGGTCAGCGAGGTTGTTGAATACCGCAGGGTCGTTCGCAATTTGATCCTCAAGGTCATTGATGAAACAACTTTAGAGCTGCCTATAACAATGGATAGCCCTTGGGTATGTTATTCCCCTATGTAAAAGTGATATTACCAATAGGCTCAGATGATGGGAAAGAGTATGCTATGATTGTTCGTGGTCCACTCTTGATTTGCGAGCTCTGCATTTAGATTTAAGACTGTAACATTTCTCACTGTTGATGTTGTAGTGAGCCCTTATGTCACTTGTAACATTTCTTTGTGTTGATGTAGTAGTGGGTCCTGTTGTCAGTTGTAACATTTCTCACTGTTGTCAGTTGTAGCATTTCTTACTGTTGATGTCAGTTGTAACATTTCTTACTGTTGATGTCAGTTGTAACATTTCTCACTGTTGATGTTGTAGCTGGCCCTTGTGTAGTTGTAACATTTCTTACTGTTGATGTCAGTTGTAACATTTCTTACTGTTGATGTCAGTTGTAACATTTCTTACTGTTGTCAGTTGTAACATTTCTTACTGTTGATGTCAGTTGTAACATTTCTTACTGTTGATGTCAGTTGTAACATTTCTTACTGTTGATGTCAGTTGTAACATTTCTTACTGTTGATGTCAGTTGTAACATTTCTTACTGTTGATGTCAGTTGTAACATTTCTTACTGTTGATGTTGTAGTGGGCCCTCATGTCAGTTGTAACATTTCTCACTGTTTATGTCAGTTGTAACATTTCTCACTGTTGTCAGTTGTAACATTTCTTACTGTTGATGTCAGTTGTAACATTTGTCACTGTTGATGTTGTAGTGGGCCCTCGTGTAGTTGTAACATTTCTTACTGTTGATGTCAGTTGCAACATTTCTCACTGTTGATGTTGTAGTGGGCCATCATGTCAGTTGTAACATTTCTTACTGTTGATGTCAGTTGTAACATTTCTCACTGTTGATGTCAGTTGTAACATTTCTCACTGTTTGTGTTATAGTGGGCCCTCATGATGGGCATGGAGCATGAACGCATCCACCTGGAGACTTCCTCTGTTTTAATCAGACAACTTCCTATTGAGCTGGTGGTTAGACCAGAAGGCTGGAGATATGGACCTGTTAAATCTGGTATGAAAACTATTTAAAAACTAGAACTTTTCATACCTTGTTGTGTTATACCTTGTTTTATTTCTATTAACTTAAGTTTTCATTCTGTTAGAGATTTTATTAACATTGAAACAATCCAACAACTATAATCTTATCCTTGATAAATATTTTGATTTATGGTAAGGATGTATTTGTATGCTTAAATAAAATAAATACACATCTTATTTAAATGTATGGTATGTATTAATTGCAAAAATACAAACTGTATTCAGGTATATCATTCATTTAAAAACTAAAGGAACAAAATATTGTTTGAAAATTTTAAGATTGTGCTGTGAAAAAAAACAAGATGATTACTGCAGCCTCCATGGAGGTCACTCTCGGCAAGCCAACAGAATTCCCTTCTTACGGCTGGGACAATGAGTATGGGGAGGTCACATGCAAGTGAGTCTTCACTTTAATTATTACATAGTAATTAAAATTGATAAATAATTTATTAGGTAATGCCTTTTTAAAAATTCTTTTCTACTTGCATCAGAAAATTGTAACATTTTTTTAAAATGTGTTAACAAAAAATCATTATTGATATTGTTATTATTCAGAGTTCCACCCTTTGAAGCCAGCCAGTTCCTGATTACTAATGCTGAGTTTTTAAAGTTTGTTGAAGATGGTGGATATCAGACCCGTGACTTTTGGACTGAGGAAGGCTGGAAATGGGTTCAATTCAGAGAGGCTGTACACCCAACATTTTGGACTTGCAATCAAGGTGGATAAAGCCTGTTAAATCTTTATTTTAGCTATTATGAGATGGAAATAATATGTTGAAAATTTTAATGAAAGTATCACTATAAGATTTAGCATAATGATACTAACTAAATTATCTGTGTGCATTTTATAAACACATTTTTTGTGAAATCAGTAATTCTAAATGTGCTTGAGCTTATTTCAAATCATGAATTTCTCATTATAAATGTAATCAAATCATGTTTGAACACTCAACTTATGCAATTATTTTTTTCTAAAGCTACATTTTTAATTTAATTTTAAAATGTGATTATAATGATGTAACTTAATTTAAATGAATCACTAGGCTGCAAATCAGGCTGTGGTTCAGATTTGGCTTCCTATTCCCACTGCCAAGGAAACTATGAACTGTCTGATGAAATTAATGATGGGCCACTTCACAAAAAACCAAAGCACTCAGTGTATCAGTAAGTTTGATCTTCATGGGGCAGATAAAAATCGAGTTTCTTCCAGGCATCTCTTCGGGGGGGCTCCGCCACATTGTCTCAAGTTAAATGTTTATTTAATTAAAAAAGTGGCAAAAGCCATAATTTAGATATTGTTTAAATAAATGTTGGTCTATTTTATGGTATTTTTTGTAAAAAAAAAGCTCCCAATGGCAGTGCAATTTGTATCATCACACATATAGAATGATTTCTTTACATGGACTTTTAAGCTTAATAATTCTTATATCTTCTTTAAGATCATGATCTTCTTCATCTCATCATTGTGTCCAATAGCTATTCTAATTAAATAATTAAAGATTGAATATTTTAAAAAACAACATATTTTCTAAAGGTTAAGAGTGATGTTTGATTTGATTGAAATGCCATGGGACTGGCCAGTTGAGGTAAACTACCATGAAGCAAAGGCCTTCTGCAAGTGGAAGGGCCCAGGCTATCGTCTCCCTGTCGAAGCTGAACACCATGTCATGAGAGGACCACAGGTAAAGCTTTGTTCCTTGTTGTCATGTAGCTGATAGTTGGTTCCGCTTGATTTTAAAAATTCTATATTTGTACATTTTAAAGAGTTTTATTTGGCTAGTTATGTAAGGAAAAATCAGTACTAGCTATACCTCTTTATTTTGGGAACAAAGCTATTAATTGAAAATTATGAGTTTTCCCCAAAAACGTTTATACAAATAAGTAACAACAGTGCAATAAAGAAATGTATTGGCTGTGTATGATCATCATATAATCATCGAAAAAAGAAACCTAGTAAGATTTTCAAACATTGTTTAGCAGGCAAATAAATAAAAAATTGTCTTTTCTTTAAAAAAAAATCTTTTAAAATCCACATCAAATCAAACACAGCTGGTTGCTTCAGCCTGTAGAGTACATTCTATCCCAGACTTTTTTCTCCGGGGGAACTTGAAATTTTCGGGGGGCGGTAGACTTTCTTCAGGGGGTCGGACACTGTTAAAAGTATATATTTTCTATATAAAATATTTAAATTTAATTTCGTTGGGAGGGGGACGGTAATTTTTTTTTTTTGGGAGGGGGGTCCTGTCTCCCCCCCCCCCCCCCCCCCCCCCCGAAGAGATGCCTGGAAGAAACTCTGATCAGTTTTGAATACTGACATTCTTCTGTTATTTGAATATGCAGAAAACAAATTCCTTCTGATTTCTTTGTAAGATTGCATATTATCCATATAGAATAACACTGACTTTATCATTGGATCTCATCTCCTCCACAGCTTCCAGCCAGTAAGGGCACTGCATCAGATATCATATTTCAAAAGACAATCAATGCTAACCTCAACTTCCAATATGGCTCCTCAACAGTAAGTTCATGGAACCTTAATCAATTCCAATAGCATTAGCCAGGAAGTTCCTTTATAGATGCCATTTAAGTAGTTATGTTGCAGTTTTCCTATGTTGTGTTATATTTTGTACTGAATCATTCATTTTGATGAATTGCAAAACTTTTATTAAGACACTTATTTTAAATTAGCATTATTAAAAAAGAATAGAAGTTGTATATTTAAGAAAATATTTGTAGTAATTAGTAAATTAGTTTCAGTCTATGAATAATTCCCCTTCTACTTCCCCAGCCTGTCAACCTGTTCCCACCAAGTAACACTGGTTTCTATGATGTCTTTGGCAATGTTTGGGAGTGGGTAGAGGATCATTTCAATGGCTTGACTGGATTCCATACCCACTTCCTGTATGATGACTTTTCCTCTCCCTGTTTTGATGGAAAACACAACATCATTTTGGTATGTAACTAAAAATTAAAACATTCCCTAAAACGGTCTTTGTTCTATTAAATTTATGTGTACATTTTAATTAAAATTAAATCCAAAATATTTATTTCTATTTAAACATAACATTAATAATAATTTAAAAAAAGAGTTCATTTAAAAATCAGTCAGGAAAAATAATAAAGGGAAATAATGAAGACTTCAAATCCTTTCTGATGCAGTTTTTATTCAATTGTTTAGGGAGGATCTTGGATTTCTACTGGAGATGAGGCATCAAGGTTTGCCCGCTATGCTTTCCGAAGACACTTCTTTCAACATTGTGGATTTAGATTGGCTAAAAGTCAACAATCAGGAAAAGTTGACCTTCCTGCTAGAGTTGTAGAGAATGAGGTGTTTGTTCTTGGATCTGGAGTTGAAGGTATTATTCAGTACTTATCAGCTTAAAATGTTAAGCTTATTACATTTTATTTTTAAAGTGTTGTTGCAAATAAAAATTTAAATTGGAATTTTTATTTTTATTCTGTAAGCCAACAAGATTTATCTGGACAACAACTTGAGTGTGCAAAGAGTGAAGAGCACCAATGCTGTGTACAACTATGATACTTTAGAAACGCTTGAAGGGATCCTTGAGCTTGAATTTGGATTCCGTGATAGTTTTGCTGCAGTAGTTTCTAATCTTTGTCGAAACTACTGCACAAATTTCCAGGTCCCCACAAAATCTGCTGTACATTTGGGGACGGCTACTGGACGAGGATCTTTTGAATTAAGCAAACTGTTTCAGCAGGTAGGAACGTGTACTTTATTGACCTCAATAGTTTTATAAAAGAAAGCTCAAAATTTAATTTATTAGATATACATACTTATACTTGTCCAAAACTAGTTTGACCAGTCCAAAAATATCTTAACATCCACTGCTACATTATCCCTTTTGATACTGTGTTGAAGTAAAACTATTTCTAATTAACCACATTTTTTTCCCTTTAGGTTCTTGGTGTAGAAATGTGTGGCAGACTAATTGATGCTGCCATTCGCCTTCAGTCCGGAAGATGCCTGACTTTCAAGGATGGAAAAAACATTAAACTTGATGAATACAAGATGGAGAGAATCATTTTTAAACAGGTACAATTTATTCCCCTTTCTTTTTCATACATTTTATATTGTCCATAGTAGATAGAATCACGCAGTGATTTTTTTTTTACCAATTATTTGATGTCAGTTTATCCAAAACCATATAGATTTTATGCTTTTATTGTTTATTGAAAGTTTTTTTTAAAAAGATAATTTGGATAATTTTAATTTTTGTTTGGTAAAGCTTCCCAACTGCTTTAGTTGTGAGAAATGTGCACATGTATTATTGCCAAAGTGTTATCTTTCTTATCTTTATGATGTGACATCCTGAATCTAATTCAGTTGATTTTTTAATTGTGTTTTGCTCGTAGTTGACCTGGGTTCCTAATGAAATAGAAAGCCATGACCTTGTTCTCATTACCCATTTGGATAGAGTTCAAAACCCTAAAGGTAACAGTTTGTAAACAAATAACACTTTTTATAAGTAATTCTTCCAATATATTCTTGAATCTACTGGTAGTTTTTTAAAATTATATTTAAAGTATTAAAATATTTTGCTTTATATCCTCAGCCTGGCTAATTCGTTTGTGGGAAATAACTAAACCTCACGGTGTGGCTGTCATTGCTTCCAAAGACGGAAGCTGGAACAGAGAAAGACTGGAGCATCATCTCCATCATAGGTACTAACATCTTTTGTTTTTAATGCATTAGGAAATTGCAGATAGTTGTTGTTTTTTTTAATTCTAGAACATTCTAATTCCCAACACAAATTACAATTATTTTTTCAATTTATACTTTACTATTAATATATTTCAGTTTTTGATTTAAGAAAAATAGCATGTTGATGGTAAAACCAGTAAAATCCAGGATAATTAATATTACACAAATAGTAAAATAAAATGTTACTCTTTTTTTCAGACTAAAGTGTGTTAGCACTGATGAAGTACAATATGAAGACAGAAGTGGCAAGGGTATTGCAACTGTCACTGCTTGGATGTACAAGTAAAGTTTCAACAAATCAAAAGCCAACCTGGCACAACATTTTTTTTTTACACTGACTTTTATTATTTAGCTGTGGTGGTCATTCTCGTTTATTGTTACAATGTTGGTAAAACAAATTTTTTTGTTTTATTTTACCTCAAGTCGTAATAAAATCTCAACAAATGAGGAGGTAGTACTTGAAACAAAACCCTCATTTGTGCAATCAAATATAACATTTCATTGGATTTTACACATTTTAAAATATTTTTTAATGACTGGATCAGGGATTAATTTACATTTTAAAATACTAATACAACTATTGATCTCACATTTATCTTTGTTTTTAATCAGGTAACAAAACCGGTTTCACAGGTTTAAAATCTCTTGTATATATGTGCTTTTCTTAAAATAATTTTTTTTATTGTAAACATAAAATGTTGAATATTTTTGTTTGTACAAGTAATCATGTGATTTTTTTCTTTTCTTTTCTTTTTGAAAATTTATATTTTTCATGCAAAATATGGTGTGTTGACAAAATGGTTTTATTTCAAGGTAAAACTTAAAAGATTATACATTTGTTAATTATGTTAATACATATTTTTAGATTATATTGTTTGATGTTGTTATGCACTAGTTGAAAATGTATTTATCAAAATTTGTTTAATAAATGCATATAGGAAAAAAATAAATAAAAAACACAATTTAAAAAAATGCCTTGTATAATTTTTCGAACAAAACCTCATTTAATAAAATACCTATGGTAGGTTAAATTGTAATTTTATACAATGATAGAAGGTGTTTATGTATGCAGCGTATTGTATTAGGCAATGATACAAAACTTCTAGAGAACCATTCAAAGTAAAAAAAAAAGGCTTGTTGAAGATTAAAGGATAAATCGAGCAGCTTGGCTTGAGACTCAAGTTCTGACCCCTTAGTCCATTTAGCGCTGAAGGATACCTGACTTGTATTTAGGAAAGTAAAGGGTGCTGTGTTTAGAACTGATCACACTATCCCTTCATAATGATTTACTTAGGTCATGAAAACAGGAGAACTTTATTTCCACTGCCATTTGACTGTTAGATCCTGGAGGGTATCTTAACTTTGGATATAGTTAACTATAATATAGTATGGAAATGTATTCCTACTGTGTTTATTGAAAATCATGTCAGGCTTATAAAAGACCTAAAGAAGCCAGTTAACCAACGGAAATTTCATCACTTCAATTCTTAAATATTAAAAAAAAATATGAATTAGGCCTTAGTATTTATAGACATATAGCCATTAGGGATCTAGACAGGAATGTGGTGTTGTTTATCATTTTGTTATATGCGATGGCTTTGGTTATACATTTTGTAAACTTTCTGACAGTGACATTCAGAACTGCAGGATGATATAAGTTGGCACAGGCTTTTTAAAGATATGAGCTCAATTTATACGGCTTTACAAATTTATAATGAAGATGTAACAAATAACTTTCTTTAATAATGTTGTTTCCTTCATTTATTTAAAACATTAAACTATTGCAGTGTCCATAGTAGGCCTACCAAATTGTGTCATCGGGAGTGGGGAGGTAGTTATCCTAGCAATGGTCGTTACTAAATAAAATGGTTGTCTAATAAAATATTTTAAACATATATTATATATATATAAATATATGTATAAATAAATATATAAATAAATATACATATATATATATATATATATATATATATATATATATATATATATATATATATATATATATATATATATATCAGAGGGGTGGGTGCCGAAATCGTGATGTATTGAAATTGTGCTAAAAAATCACATGAAATTTTGACAGTTTTCACAGGTGTACACCTCATTACTTCATCATATACGGAGTATGGAAGACTTATTTCGATCGGGCAAAAATTATAAAATGCAGATTTATAAAAATTTCGGCACTTTATGCTTAATAGTGTTGGAAAAACTAAGCTTTGAAATTCTGTCCGTATGTCTGTTTCTTTGCATGTATGTGTGCATGTGTGTGTGTGTGTCTTTGAAAACGATAACTTGAGTACCGTTGCAGCTAGATTGATGAAATTTCATATATAAGTATTATATCAAATTTGTAGTTCTGTATCAACTTTTCAGCGATTTCCGATAACCGGAAGTGGAACATATTCAACTTATGGTTTTTCAAATGCCTATAACTTGAGTAGTATATCAGATAGATAAACGAAATTTCGAATTTATAATAAGTAAAAATATAAATAAAAGATCTAATTTTCCGTTGACCGGAAGTAGTAATTTACGCTACTTCGATTTCTCAAAAAAAAATGCATATCTATATATATAAAAAGCAATGTATGTGTGTTTGTGTGTGTTTGTGTTTGTCCTCTATGCATTACTACACCTCTCATCACATCGCCGTGAAACTTTGGGAAGTTGTTGAGAATATTCCTGGGGAGGTTTCTGCGGAAATTTTTTTTTCAAATTCGCAGGGGTGGCGCCCCGGCAGGGCGCGATTTGTTTTTCTCTATATACGGTATATAAAAATAAAAAGTCAATTTTGGTTTGACATCGTTCATCTGATAGCCATTAGACTTTGGGGAGTTCATAATAACACTCAAAGGAAGGGTTCTGTAAAAAAATAATTTTTAATTTCGCAAGGGCGGCGCCACTGGAGGGTGCGATTTTCCTCTATATATGGTATATAAAAATAATAAAAGTGAATTGCGGTGACACCGTTCATCCGATAGGCATGAAACTTTGGGAAGTTGTTGAGAATATTTCTAGGGAGGTTTCTGCGAAAAGAAAATTTCAAATTCGCCGGGGTGGCGCCCCGGCAGGGCGCAATTTGTTTTTTCTCAATATACGGTATATAAAAATAAAAGTCGATTTTGTTTTGACATCGTTCATCCGATAGTCTTGAGACTTTGGGGAGTTCATTATAACACTCTAGGGAAGGGTTCTGTAAAAAAAAAAAATTTAATTTCGCAAGGGCGGCGCCACGGGAGGGTCCGATTTTTCTCTATTTACGGTATATAAAAATAATAAAAGTGAATTGCAGTGACACCGTTTATCCGATAGGCATAAAACTTTGGGGAGTTCATTATAAAACTCTAGGGAAAGGTTCTGTAAAAATAATTTTTAATTTCGCAAGGGCGGCACCACGGGAGGCTGCGATTTTTCTCTATATACGGTTTATAAAATTTCTGTTTCGCACCGTTCATCCGTGTACCATGAAAGTTTGGGGAGATGATTAGATCACTCAATGGTAGGGTTCTGCAAAAAAATATTGTTTAATATTGCAAGGGCGGCGTCCCCGGGGTGGGGGGTGGGTGCGATTTTTTTTCTCTATACACGGTTTATAAAAAATAAAACTCGGATGCGGTTCATCCGAGTACCATGAAACTTTAGGGAGTAGATGGGAATACTTCCGAGAATATTTCTGCGAAAAAGAAAACTAAAGTTTCTTATGGGCGGCGACATATAGGGTACAACTTTCGTCAATACACGGTTTGGCGCCCAGAGTTTTAGAGCGACTATGTTGGCACTTGGCATCCGTTAATCGAGCGTCCTGCATTGCGAGTAAGGAGTACTACTATATTCAGCGGTAAAACTACAACAGGCTTCTAAAAATAACTTTGTAACGCGAGGAACTCCTTCTGTACAGTTTCATCACCTTGCGAAAGATGAAAAAATAACATTTTGAATATGAGGAGCCTACTGTAGAGTTTCGTCACTTTGCGAATGATGCAATAAGCATATATTATTAGACAATCCAGTCAGAAATTGAGATCGAGCATCTAATAATAGACCATTAGTAACGCTAGCATATTGCATCAGTCACACTGATACTTAAAACATGTCAAATAATTTTTTTACGTGTTAAAGAAAAAATCCTGATCATTTGTGTCACTTTAGCGAATGACAAAATCTGCATCTTTATTAACAGGATGCTATTTGGCCGATGACGCCTGTTAGTTTTAAGGAGCCAGGGTAGTACGCCGCGCCTATGCGGTAGTGAAATCGGGGGGGGGGGGGCATGAGAGCGCCCCTCTACGCTCTTACACAGAGGCGCTCACCGAAGTGTGTTCTACCATATTAATTAATGTACGCTCAAGGTTTTAGAAAAGTAGGTCACGCGTCTAAGAACATATAATTATAATTGATAAAGCGTTGGTGAAATCCTAATATATTTCGTCAAACTTTCTTCTATCCCCGCGGCAACGCGCGGGGGCCGGGTACGCTAGTAAATTTATAAAGTAGGCCTACTCGTATTCCGCACTATTAATATACACAGTTCACTTGGTGCGCAATTCTTTTTTCTAGGAGATTCTATTCTATTTTTTTTTAAAGTTTAAGGAATTAATAATGGATTTAAATTCATGTCTATATCCCGAGTTGCCACCCCCTTAGTGTTATAATCTGTTATAGATCTATAGATCTCTAAGAATATTTGAAAAAGTTAGAGATCTCTCCCGCTTTTTTTTTTTTTTTACTTTGCGTACTTTTCTGGCTAGCTTTTGCAAAGGAAAAGTCAACCGGAAGTAGGTTCTTTTAAAAATTCGGAGCGTAGAAGTGTATCAAATTTAAATTAAAAGAAAATCAACAAGATTCTGAAAGTGAAACAGATCTAGAATCTAGACTCTAGATCTGGACTCTAGATCCTATCCTGGTAAAATCACGATATAGCGTCGGTTATTATTCCGGAACTGTACAGCAGTAAAAAACAGTAAAACCATGGCGTAGTCTGTCGAGCCGTTCCGGAAACCACCGGAAATACTGTAAACCATCATTTATTTGCCGCCATATTATTTTTAGCACATAATGTTTAAAAATGTGCAAGGATTGATTTTAGTTGCATTTTAAATACTGTTTTGCTAATTATTTTGTATTTCTAATTATTTTAAGTGTATGTGCTAATTATTGCTGCTACTAAACATTATTCTAGTTATTCTTACTACTTTTAACTTTAGTTAATCTAGCCTAATCGTCTTATTTACTAACAGAACTAGATCTAGAGCTGGTTGTCGCAAAGCTTCTGCAGGTTTTTTCTGTTTCTTAAAAAAAAAAAACATTAATTACTACACTCGACTTTATTAATAATATTTAGATTTACTAATTGTTGCTAATTTTTTGTCAGTTAAACATTAAAATATTAAATTAAGTTAAAACATTAATTAAATGCACTTGACTTTATTTTTCTTTCACCGGTCAAATAAAGTATGGTTTACAGTAACGAATGTTACCGAAACTCAACGAACATTACCCAATAATTTCCGACGCTATATCGTGATTTTACCCCTATCCTACTCTCTCCTTCTCTCTCTCTCTCTCTCTCTCTCTCTATCCTACAGTCACATTGACAAGTTACGGTAAACAACGGTACAGTCTACAAACAATAGTCTACGTCTACATTAAAAAACTAGATCTAGTCTATTTACTATTTACTATTTTATTTACTACTCAACTCAACACTCAACATAATTTTTAATCTAGATCTAGACTCTAGATTTATTTTTAATTTTATAATAATTTTAGTATTCTTTGTCTTTAGATTAGGCATTTTTTGGTAAAAAAATGCCAAATGGGTAATCTATTGTACTATCGTAGTTTTACTAGAATCTAGATCTAATCTAGATACGTAAAATTAAAAATCGCCAGCTGCTAGTAATGTATGAAAACTTACCTCATTGTCAAGGCTTTAAACCTTAATAGAAGTATATATAGTATATACATACATATGCCCCTGGGCGCCAACCCTAGGGGCGCCAAATTGGGTTAAAAAATCAAAAGCTCATTTTATCTGCAGTTTTGAATATTAAATATAAATAATTTATTGGGGGTCGCCAAAATGAAAGTATGTCCCCGGGCGCTGGGAGGGGTTGTTACGCCTCTGAATGTATCGTTTTCGTGTAATCAATTGGTTAGACTTAGATCTATATATAATATATAAATTTATATAAAGCACAATTTATATAAAGCTCCCTCCGCCCAACAACTTTTACTATTTTTCAATCAAATAATTGTTATCAGGAATGATTTAAAATGAAAAGGCTGTGGCTTTAAAACAGTAGGCGTGTTCTGGTGCACCATCAAAATGGCCCGTGACAAATCGGCCCCGTCAAAATTGTCTCGTTAATATGACCCCATCAAATTGACACCTGACAAAACAACCCTGTCAAAATAACCCTGTCAAAAGGGCCCCGACTTATTGGCTCCCTTCATACTGACTCGCGACATGGGCTCCCGACATTTAGATGTGTTCTATTTAATTTAATCTGTTTTTAAGCCTGTTAATTAAAATTGCTAATCCCTAAATTAAGGCCTAATTTTTTTAAATTAATTTTTTTGTTAGTTGACAATGAGTAAAAGATCAAGCTCTGCTGCAAACCTGTCTAGTAAGGAAACTGCAAAGAAAAAACATAGAAAAGATACAGAACCTTTAGAATCTGATGAAGATGAAGAAGTTATTGAGGTTTGAACATGTCATAAAATATATCAAATTCATTTACCTTGAATTTAAATTTAGCACCATATGTAATTTTGCAGCTGTTAAAATGTTAATGCTTTTTTCTCTCTATGTATAAAATATTATTGAATTTTTTAGAGCTCATTGGCTGAACCATTGTATAGACATGTGCATTCTAAGGTAAAGCAAATTAGTAATCTCTCAAATGATATGTTTTGCCTTTATATATTAAATGATAATAAAAGCTCAAATGCAGTTAAAAAGGAAAAAACATTTTTTAATTTGTATGTCTTTATAGATATAATTATCTTAAAACTTATCTTAAAATCAGTTGTATGTCTTCCTCTTTTCAGGCAGAGCCGATTGTTGGAGTGATTAAAAAAATTAGTATGTTCAATTTTATGTGTCATAACCGACTAGACGTCACATTGGGAAGTCATGTCAACTTTATTATCGGAAGAAATGGCAGTAAGTCCTTTTCTGATTGTCAACCATATTTGCAATGTTACGTATAAATGGTTTGTTTATTTAGCATTCTACTTCAGTATATTTTTGTCTATTTATAACAATAATAATTTTTTTTAGGTGGGAAAAGTGCTATTGTTACAGCACTTGTGGTTGGACTGGGAGGCAAAGCTTTGTCTACAAACAGAGGAAGTTCTATAAAGAATTTTATTAAAACAGACAAAAGGTTTATAGCTTAGAAGAGTGTCTTGTATTATTTAATATATATTTTTATTCTTTGCTTTGCAACAATAACATTATTGTTTTAAAAGCATGAAATATTAAATGTGTTTATGAAACAGGTTTTTAAAAAAGTTTATTAACTTTTAGATCTGCATGGGTTGAGGTGACCCTAAACAACAGAGGTATGGATAGCTACAAGCATGATGTTTATGGTGATAGCATCACTATCAGGAGGAAGTTTACTTGTGATGGTGTCAGTGGCTATAGCATCTTATCAGATTCAGGTATAGCATCTTATCAGATTCAGGTATAGCATCTTATCAGATTCAGGTATAGCACCTTAATAAATTCAGGTGTAGCATCTTATCATATCCAGGTGTAGCATCTTATCAGATTCAGGTATAACATCTTATTAAATTCTGGTAGATAATTTTATCAAATTTCTGGTGATTGCATCTTATAACATCCAGATATAACATCTTATCACATTCAGGTGAAACATCTTAGAACATTCTGTTAGATCATTTATTACTTTCTGGTAGATTATCTTGTCGCATTCAAGTATATTTGTTATCACATCTAGGTGTAGTACCATGTCACATTAAGACATTGTATAAATTTTATCACAGCCAGATATACCATCTTATTACATTCAGGGATAGTATTGTATAACAATTAAATAATATTATTTTATTCAAGTCTGGTATTTTTTATGAGTGCTCAAGGTTTTACTGTAAAAATGTATTTTTAACTCAATTTAGTTTCATTTCTGATGAGCAACACTCATATTTAGACACAATAGAGCACATACCTTTACCCATGTACATACCCACATTACTTATGTAGTGATGATGTTTATGAGTATTAATTACTATTAAATATTAAATGTCTTTCACTGTTTTGGTTTAGTCATAAAAAATTTAGTTCACACGTTCATGCATAAGCCAAATCATTTGAAATAATTGATAACAATGTTCGTTATTTTTATATATCTTAGAATTTGTAGGTTTTTTTGTGTAAGTCCTGTGGAATTTTGAAAATTACTTTTATAAATCAGGTCAAGTGATCTCCTCGAAGCGTGATGAGGTGCAACGAATTACAGATCACCTTAACATCCAAGTAGACAACCCTGTGTCCATTCTCAACCAGGATACAAGTAGGAGTTTCCTAAACACCAAGTCAGCAGCTGATAAATTTAAAGTGAGCAATCATTACATATTTTAAAAAAAAAATATTTTCAGTAATAATTTAACACATTTATTTAAAATGTAAAATTTTTTTGACTAGTGGAAAGAATTAGCTGGAAGTTTAAAAAATGTTTCTAAACTTATGTGATGCTTATGGTTTGCTAAATGAGCTCAAAATATTTTATTTTAGTTTTTCATGAAAGCTACTCAGCTAGAACAGATGAGCTCAGATTATGACCTAGTCAAGAAAAATAAAGAGATAACTCGCCAGGAGATCACTTCTAAGGAGTCGGTAAGACCATTGCTTAGTTATCATAATGATGATAATGAAACCCTTAATTAGGCCCATGTTTGGCTTTTCTTGTTTTTGGTTAACTACTATAATGTGATGTGTTAAAAAAAAAGTTTTAATTAGCTTATTTTTATGAGAAATGGAAACATTGAATGTCCTGCTATGAATGTGTTGAATGTCCTGATACACATGCATTGTTTGTCCTCATACATTGCAGGTGTTGCCAATAATGTTGAAAGAAGTGAAAGTTTGGGAGAATAAGTTCAAGAACCTGATGGCCTTGTCAGAGCTAAAAGATAAGATCAAAGCACTCAAGAGAGAACTAGCTTGGTCTCTTGTCATTGAGAAGGAAAAGGTTGGGGGTTACACAGTCATTCACACACTGTCAATATATTTCTTTGTCTTTACTTTATTCAGGTCAAACGCACTGAACATTTTCTTTACTTCATTCCCATCATGCAAATGATAAATATTTTTATCTGTTTTTTCTTTATTCAGGTCAAACACAATATAATAATTTGTTTCATTTTGTCTTCTCTTTATTCATGTCAAACATACCAAAATATATTTTGGTATTGTACATGCTTTGTTTACTTTGTGTGTTAAAAAAAAAAAAAGTAAAGTTTGCATACTTGCCCACTTATCTATGAAAACCTGTTGATATACTTTTTTATTTTGTCACTTTAAACACCATTCATTTCCTTATCTTAGGGGCTGAAACCTTTAGAGAAAGCACTGAAATCAAATGAAGCAGCACTTCCAAAATTTGTGAAAATGGTTGATCAAGCCAAGGTAGGAACTGACATAGAGGTTATTATGTTGACGTTTTTTTCTTCCCGGTACATTTAAAAAAATACCCATGTAATTAATTGCCAGGACACTGTAAATGAATGGGATGTTAAACTTAAAGAGCTGGAGCAAAGACTGATAGACTGTGGTCAAGAAATACAACTCCTGGAGCCATTACTTCAGGAGAAGAAAGGAGATTTGCAGAAGGCAAAAGATGATCTTGTGCCACTCACTGTTAGTTTTCCTTTCATTGAATACAAATGGAATAGTTAAGTTAATCATTTAATATTTTGTAGATACCTTGATATTAAAATTCTTCCCAGTTATTTATGTTTTCTTTGAATATTTTTTTTGTTACATATATTAACTATTTTGTTCCAGAATGAACTTAGAATTTGTGATAAAGATTTATCAAACACTCGTCAGGAGTGTAAACAATGTCAAGATAGAATTGAAGAACTAAAAGTCATGTAAGCTGGTTTAATTTAATATTGCTGTCTGCTATCCCCATTTGTTTAAAAAATCCTTTGATTAAGAAAAGGGAAATCACTCTGTTCACTTATTTATGCTTAAAGAAAATCTAAGAATTCTGTTATAAAGAATGTTTTTACAAATAAAAAATTATTGATCCAGAAAATAAAGAAAAATTAGCAGTAAGTAAATTGTTTGGATTTGCCAGATCAGTGTACTGATGTCATTTGGAGCTGTGTACTAAATTGTTTATATGGGGTTAGTGCTGATTAGCATTGAGACAAAATACCATTCTGTGTTGTTATATCATATATATCTATGTTTGGCACTTGCTCCTATGTCTAATATTTTTAACACAAGAAAATGTTAGGAAAAAGGCAAGTTTCAATACCGTGTAAAATAATAGAACTTCAAAGCAGTTTCTTTTCAATGTTGGCTGTGCAAAAATGTTAGGAAAAAGCTAGTTTCAATATCGTGTAATGTGATAGAATTTTTAAGCAGTTTCTTTTCAATGATGACTCTACATCTTATAATTGACATTCACAAGTTTCCATCAGAGACATTTATATTCCTAAACAACAATTGGAACATATTATGCCCATTCAGAAATGTTTTCTATGGTTCTTGTGCTAACAAATGTGATGAAAGTTATCACTTTTATTTTATAAACATTATCAAAATGTTTAAATTAATGTATTAATGTTTTCTATTGTTAAATCAATATTTACAGTGCATCCCATGACTTTGAAGCAGATCGGAGACAAAGAGAGGAGCAAATAAGCAGCCTGAAGCTTAAGTTAGATGAAATAGTGTCTAAAAAGAAAGTTTCTGAGCATGAATTAGATCAGCACCGCAGTGCAGTGGCTAAATATAAGGCTGATGCCTCACAATTAGAGTGAGTAAAGCTCGCAAAGTATACTATTTGTTTCTATGAAGTTGTTCTTTTAGTTTGAAAAAATTGTTGCATTCAGCTTGCAAGTGTCGTAAAATATTGATTTACAGGTACAAAGACTAGAATCTGAAACAATTTTAAAAAAAAAACGTGAAAATGCACTGCAAAATTCCTGGACAACTCTCCTCTCCAGACTTTTGTTGCTCCACATTGTGCTGCACATATTTGAAGAGTCTGGTTTGCTAAAGAGCACTGGAGTGTTGGAGCCAATTTTGTACAATACTATATCTATTGTTTATTTACTGTAGGTCTATAAACATATACAACCAAACTATTTACAGTTGGTTACTTTAATTTCCTGGTTCAGGGGTTTACATTCAGTTACTAAAGATTTAGTCTCTATTGTCCTGTAGATTTGTTTTATATTTGTCTTGGGACACATCCCAACGCTACTAGTAGGGAAAGAAAAAGTGGCATAGTGCTGACCACACTATCCTTTCTTATGCCAAGGTCACTGAAACGGGTGAACTCTGCTTTACCTGCTACATGGACTATGGTTCAAAAGGACATTTTACTTTTTGCTTTTTTTGTGTGGATGTCATTATAAAATTCTTAGAAAAAAATTTGAAGTATAATAATTACTTCAACATGACTTTTCTTAAATATTTACATTAAATATTTTCATTTTGATTTCAGTGGCAAATATATTGGTTGCTTTTTTAATACAATCTTTTCCCAGTCCTATTATATTCTGTAATTAAAATTCTGTAATTAAAAATAAAACACATACTATATTCTCTTGTAAAATCAGGGCCCCATTGAGAACAAAGCAGACAAAGCTCAAAGATGTGAAGATGGCTATTAGAAGGCTACAGGCAGCAACAAATGACAGACTACAAAGATATGGTGAATGGATGCCAGTTCTTATAAGGAATATACAGCAGTCTAAAAGACATTTTCATAAAGTGCCAATTGGACCTCTGGGTAAGTTCTTTTCTGTCCACTCTGTTTTTTTTAATGGAGTGTTATACTGTGTTGCATAGTTGTTTTTTTGCAATGTATTTATTTAGTATTTAAGATACTTTTTGTAATTTTAAATTAGGTTTTGCATGTTATTAGAGTTAGGGTCAAAGTTGCTGTTTGTAAAGTTAATATTTTGTTTTTTGGACACAACATGTGTTGTGTTGTGTGCTCAACTCCATCTCCAGCTGACTATAATGACAAAAAGGCCCTATCAGAACAAGTTGGACTATAATGACAAAAAGGCCCTATCAGAACAAGTTGGACTATAATGACAAAAAGGCCCTATCAGAACAAGTTGGACTATAATGACAAAAAGGCCCTATCAGAACAAGTTGGACTATAATGACAAAAAGGCCCTATCAGAACAAGTTGGACTATAATGCCAAAAAGGCCCTGTCAGAACAAGTTGGACTATAATGACAAAAAGGCCCTATTAGAACAAGTTGATGCATAAAGATTGAAACAAAAAGCGGCATATTAAAGATATTTGGCAGTCTTTCTGTTTGTAATTACGCACAAACTACATTGTCCCTTAGTAAATTACAATAACTTTTATCATAGTTTAAAAATTTTTGATGTAGCTTAAGTTGAATAAATAGGTGAAAAATGCTTAATTGATGCAACATTAAATTTTAAATAGGAGCAAAAAATTTAAAAAAAAAAGCTCATTGTGTGCTAAATAAGAATATTTCTTGCTTGAAGAGGATCCTATGATGAGTGTGCAATTATTTTCTTTGTGCCAATCCTGATATTATTCTCTGTTGTTTATTTTGTACTTGTTTGTTTGAAAAGGTGCCTGTTTTGATCTAGTGGACACCAAGTGGGCTTTATCTATAGAGTCTTGTCTGAAAGCTTTGGTCAGTTCTTTTGTCTGCCATGACAGGCACGATGAAAAGATTTTGGAAGATATCTTTCGCAGCTTACAAGTAACACCTCGACCATCTATCATAACCTGTCCCTTCTCTGTGAGTTTTTATTTACTTTTTTAGTGTAATCCATAAAATAACCCATGTTATCAGTGTAATCTATAAAATAAGCAATCTTATACAGTGTGTATAGATTGGGTTTATGTGAGTTTATTCTATTAAAAAACAACAACAAAAAAACCCAATTTATGAATGTCCAAACCTTTGTTTCAGAACGTGGTACATAATGTTTCAAAATATGTAAGTACTTCTTATTATGAATTAAATTTTAAGATTTAATTAAATTTGAAGAGACAGAATGGCAGTCTTTCTCTTTAGAACTTGCTTGCTTACATTATGGAAATAAAACCTACTATTGAATCATATTTCTAATTTCTGGTTTATTTTACACTTAGTTAATTGACTCATTTATTTCTTTAAAGGATCATGGTTTAAAAAGTAGCTTTTTAATTTAAATCTTTGTCCTTAATGACTTAGATTCCTGGGTATTTAGGGATATTCATGTGATTTGTTTGTATTTATGTGCTCTGTGATTTATTTTCAGAGAGTAAGAAGTGAACGCTTCCCTTGTGTGCTCGATGTTATAAAATGTGATAATCCGGTGGTTATCAATACATTGATTGATCAGGTAGATGTTATAAAGATATTATGCTTCAATCATTTTTATCTAATCTAATCACACAATTTTTAAATAAAATTATTTTTTCCCGTTTATAATATACTGGTAATCCAATTATTCTATATCTTTAGCGCAACATTGAAAATGTCCTACTGATTGAGGATTCAAATGTGGCAAGGGAGGTGATGTTAAGGAATCCGCCAACTAACTCAAGGGAAGTAAGTATTTCTTAAATAAAAACATTAGATGTGTTAATAAACAGATTATGACATGATTATGTTTTATGAATGCAATTAAACAAGAGGTTCTTTAGTTAATAAAGAAACAGCTTCTAGTCTTGTAGCTGGTCCTTCTAAGGACAAGAGAAGTGGAAGTGGGTGTCTCCCATGTAACCAATGACCAAAACAATTGATAGGGCAGGTCTCCTGCTAATATATTTACTCATAAGTCAGCTGACAGAATATTTATAGAGATAACAGTCCCTGAAAGTAAATATCTAGTAAAAGCATTCCATATTATATTTCTAGTATTGATTTTTTTTGCAATTATTTCTGGTCAATAATTTTTGGCAGATATTTTCTGAACAGTTTAACTAATGAGCTGAGTATGTAAAAAAAACCTCCTAACAGTTATTATACAATGATTTGTTCTGAAGTTACAGTGCTAAAACTAAAAGCATTAGTAGGGCTAACACTTTAAATGTAACACTTATGTGTAAATGATGATTTGAGGATTACTGGTTTAGTTCGTCTAAATCAGTCTTGCCCTAAACGTCTAGATGCCACTGTGTCTAAATGAAGGCTCTGCCTGCTGAGAATACTGGGATACTAAGCAGGAACTTCATAAAAATAATAAAATTTAGCTTGTTTTTATATTTGTAGTAATTTTTTTCACTAAGTCTGATTTGGGTATTTTCCTCCTTGAGCCCAGGGAACACATATTTTTGGGCCGGGAGCTCAGGGTTTCAAAGGGTTAAGATCTGGATTATGTTTTCTTTATTTAGAACTTGTACAAATGCTAAAGATAACTTCCTTGTTTATTGCAGTGCTTTACACTAGGAGGGGATCAGGTGTTCTGCACGCCAACATTCCGCTACTACTCATCAGACAAAACCACAGCCAGGTATCTCATGGAAAATGTTCAGGATCAGATTGTCAAACTTGAGAGAGAAGAGAAACAGCTAGAGGAAGAAATTAATGCAATGGCCCACCAGGTAAATTTTAACTGGGTTTTTTTTTTCATCAGGTTTTTATACTTGAAATTCTCATTTTTAAAACCAAATATAGATATATCATTTTTTTTCTTATACTTATAATGGTTTTTCATGTTAATAATCAATGCCAGCAATAAAATCTACCTTCTTTATTTAAATAGTAAAGTTTAATGTAACTGATTGATTTTCATATTTTCAATATTAGAAGAGTTATTGATTTGCTTGGGATGGTGTGGTGGACGGCAGAGTGCACAACAGCTATCCTGAAAGTTTCCATGAGCTCACCCAACTGTGATGATTACCTAGCTCACTTTAGGGAAAGTAATAGATGGCCTGGCATAGAGCTGATTACACTATCCCGTTATATGCAGATGTCATAGAAATAGATGAACTCTAATTCTACTGCCTTTTTGACTGTTACACAAAATTTCTGCAAATTCTTTTTTAAACAATTTAATATTGTCTAAATTTGTCATCATCTTTTAGCAATACAAAATTACTTAGAACATGTAGAACTGCTATCAATCAAACATGTGACATGACTGATAGCCATTTCTCAAGAACATTCATGGCGAGTCTATGCCATATAAAGCTGTAGTTGTGTAGGCAACCCCACTTAATCAATAATATTTAAAATGTTTACTTCCAACTGAAGTTAGTTTGAGAGTGGTAAGTTTCTTAGGTGTAATTTTTCTTTGTAACAGCGTGACAGTCTAAATCAAGAGATTGCCAAGAACCAACAGGAAGAGAAGAAATTAATGACACAAGTACACAAACACACTGAGATCATAAGTCGCCTCACGTTTGAGATTCAAGAGTTAAAAAATGTTGAGGATCCTGCCCCTGTGGATGTCACCACTCTGGTATGCTAGAAGGTTTCATTTCTGTCTTTTTATTTCAATATGTTTTCAAAATAAGAAATAACTTAAAAAAAAACAACTTAAACATTTTGCACAACTACATTATGATTGATGTGAAAATAGAGAAATGTAACTTTTTAAGCATATATTGCCTCACTATTTTAGGAAGAAGAGGTTCAAGTATACAATGAGAAAATAAAAGTGCTTCAAGCAAAAAGAAATTCCACCTTGGAGGAAAAAAAGAAGGCTGAAGAAAGATTGAAAGTAGCCAAAGAAAGTTACTTGAGGGTTGAAGCAAGCATAAGGGAAAAATCAGGTGTGCCTTATTTCTTATTTCCTTATTGCTTTATTGAAACTCATTTTAAGTGCTTTGTAATAAATGGAAGTTATGTTTTATCAATAAAGTCTATGTATTGTTCTGAAATCTACAGACAATGGCATTCCCCTAAGGGAGGAGATCAGCCAAACACAGGATAACCTGTATAATGCACGGCATAGTGTAAAACACTACACTTCGAAATTGAAAGAACAAGAAAAAGTCATACAAGATTGTCTAAATCAAGTACTAATTGCAAAGATTTTTAAACTTTAAACTTTTTAAACTTAAATAAGACAATCATTAGTTATTAAATGCTCGTTTTATGTGAATTTCATCTTGATAAACATCTCTTTTTAAAAAGTGAATCCTTAAATGATTTGCACATTTTTTTTTTTTTGTAGGTGGAAAACTATAAGCGAGAAGTGGAAGCAAATAAAGAGAAAGCTAGAGAAGTTTGTGAACCTATACAAACTAACAGAACACCAAACAGTATAGAAAGTGAGATCACTCAAATAGAACGAAGGATCAATGAAGAAGAAGAGCAACAGGGTAATGAAGAGGTTATCTCAACAACATATAAGCAGAAGAAAGATGCTCTAGATCGAGTGAGAAAAGAGATTGGGCAGATGAAGGCATATATTGATAAGTTAGATGAGGTTAGTATGTTAACACACAAAGAAAATTGAGTATACTTTCACTCTTTCTCACTATAACTATTACTAATTATTTCAAAACTGGCTGAAGTAATTAATTTAATAATAGCATGGAAAAAAATTTCAAGTGTTGGTTAAAATTAATTTGCCAATTTTTTTTTAGGTGATGGTTAAACAAAATTAATTTGCTATTTTTTTTGCTCTAGGTGATGGTTAAAAGGGAAATAGCCTATCAAAGAATGCGCAAACTGATTGCAAGTCGAGCTAAGTAATAAAATTTTGCTATATTTATTTAATTATTTTTGTTTGGATAAGTTGCATTTGTTGCATGAAAAACTTTATTTGAGTGTCTTTCGGGGGGGGGGGGGGGGGGGGGGGGGAGAGGTCAGCAGAATTCAGGTTGTGAATACTGGGCGGGGATTACAAACACAGGAAACTTAACCTGCATGCTAAAAGTATACATTTAAACTGCAGGACCCCGATTTTAAAGAAAACCAGGTTTAGCAGGTAATTTGACTTTGTTCTCTTTGCTCCTTGTGAAACATAGGGCCTCTACCCTTCCAGTTTGCCCTGCCCCCTGCTATTAATTTTGTATTCTCCCAAAACATCCCTGCTGTCTTCAAGAAGACTCCGCCTCCAGGTCTGTCTTGGGCCACTTCCATTTTCCTTGGGGGTTCCACTCCAGCGCCTGGCATGTCAAATTTTGATGAGCCTTTCGCCGTGTGTCCAACCCAGCGCCACTTCCTCCTTCTTAATTGTACTGTTATAGTCCTTTTCCATAAGCACGTAATTTAATTTTTTTTATAGATATTACTTCCTCATCCAAATGGCACAGCGATCCTTCACTGGTAAAATGAACTTTGATTTCACCAAAGAAACGCTAGAAATTGTAGTGAATACATCCAGTGATTCACAAGATGGGAAAGGCAGCACTGGTATGGAGGCCAAAGATTTGAAGTCCTTATCTGGCGGTGAACGCTCCTTTTCTACAGTCTGTTTTATTTTATCTCTGTGGGAAGCCATGGAATCTCCATTCAGATGTTTGGATGAATTTGATGTATTTATGGTAAGTGATGACCAATATAAACGAGTAGTACAACTACTTTTCTTATTTTTTAAACATCATCACTTGTTAGGAACATTAATGAAGCTTGGTTATGTTTTCAGTTCATTATGATAATTTATTTTTATATAAAATTAACGTAACTTACAATATTTGTATATAACAATTTTAAAATGTGCGACTGCAGTTAAAATTGTTTTTTAAAAATGCTGCTTGTTTTTTTAAAATGCTGCTTAGTTATACCACTATTTTTAATATGGTGTATAGTTAAATTAATGCAACCAAAATTATTTTTTTTCTACAAAGAATGCTAGAATTCAGAATTGTATGAATGTAAGTCAAGGATTGGGTTAGCTCAACCCTGTAATATTTACAAAATAAGGCAGCATTACATTTGTTTTTGCCACTATCTTATTTAAATGTTAACAGCTAGTACCAATTTATAGTATAATAGTGTTCACATACTGTATAAAATAAACTTCTTAAATTTCAGGACATGGTTAACAGAAGAATTTCTATGGACATGATGATGGCCACAGCTGATATGCATAAAAATATGCAGTTCATTTTCCTGACACCACAAGATATGAGGTTGGTATTGTCTTTTCATAGCCTCCAGCCCATACAAACCAAAAATGTATTTTTAAAATTTATTTCTAGGATTTATTTTAATTTTGATGGTTTACTTGTGAAAGTACTTATTATCCCACTTACTTCTCACCACAAAAATATCAAAGGAGCATTTTATCCTACTTTCTCCCCCCTTGATATTTTTGTGGTGAATAGTATAATTTAATAATGAAAGTGTGTCCTAGTAGTCTCCCCTCAAATGAAGTGAAACTTTCAAGGCAAAAGCACTTGGACGCAATTCTCTTTAGCTAATTAATTTTTATCTTTGTTTCATGACAGTTCCGTGAGAAAAATCAGTGATGTGAAAATTTTCCGCATGCAGGATCCTGAAAGAAATCAGGACCAAGGAGTGGCTACCAAGTCATTGTCGTAATAAGACTATTTAGTAAAATCTGAATAGATCAACATGAATAAGTTTGTTAATATTATGTACATATTGTATAACTTCACTGCAATAAAATGTTACACTTTGAGATGTGTGTATTTAAATTTCTTACTAAGCAGACATAAACAAGTAAAAAATCACACATTTCAATTTTTATTATATGACAATTGTTAAACAATAAATTCTTAATGGAATATTTGACTGTATAAATTAAATGAACTGCATATAAATATAAATTAACGACAATTTTTTCTTCTAAAGCAAACCAAATATACAAAGGATGGGTTCTAGCCCCTTGGGATGCAAGTCATACCAGTCAAAGGAATAAAAAATACTCTGTGGGGGCCCACTAAAACAATCCACACTGACACCTGAGTGTTAGAATAATAGGAAACAATCCTTTCCTGCATAGAAGACTTGAAACTTAACAAAAAGTCTCAGTCAGTGCATTAGTATCTTGTAAGTTGTTGAAATCTTACTTAAAAATGGGGTCATAAGTCACTCTATGCTTACATAAAATAGGAACAAGATTTCAAATGTTTGGGTAGAGGTACCATGTAATATAATTGCAGCAGTATAAATAAATAATAAAACAAATCACTTATCTATAAGCATTCTGAAAATACATTTTTGTAAAAAAAAAAAAAAATTCACATAACAAATTAACATTTGCTACAATAGTGTATAAAAAAAAAATATACCAAAATATTCTGTACAAATTCGCTCCTTGGGTTCAATATATAATTCCTTTTTATTAAGACACCTAGCCAAAGAACATGAACTTTATTGCATATTATGTGGTACCATTTATTTATACACACCTGCAATAATAGTTATCTTAGCGTAGGATGATCACAACATTCATCATTTGTATATAATTGATTTGGTAAGCTGCCAACTATCATTCTTCACAGATTATACAATAAATACATTTTGCAAAAAGAATTAAGTATTTCAAATAAAAATGGGGAAATCAAATGACATAATTAACACGATGCTAAAACAATTTTGAAAACACAATAATTTAAAAAAATAAAAAACGCCATTTACTTGAGTGTGATTAGCAACTTATCTGCAAACTCTAATCACAAAAATAAAACCAACAACCAGAACAGTAGATGTTTTTCAAATAGCAGGCCCACTATTGATTGGACAATAATCAAATATTTTTTCAAGCACTGCTCTAGATAAATTGAAGATAGTGTTTTATAAATTAAAAAAAAAAACACTATTTTTTATAACCTCAAAAGAAACAATATACGTGAACTCATTAACTGGTGTATTGAATGCAAGGCAGTCAAAAAAAATTAGGCTTTTAATTTTTGCTTCTCTTAAAACAATATTAAAATATGCTAATTTTTTGAGGTAATGAAAATATGTTTACATTTACTGATTGTCATTTCTTCTTTAGGCCCCGGATAATCTTATAAATAAGTACTAGATGACTGCAAATCATTCCTGCTCAATTTATAATGGGAAACAAAAATGTTTCACCACTTAAGCATGGTCATAGACGCCTGTTCCAGCAAGCTAAGCTTAATGTAATTCTATTATTTACATCAAATAAGGATCTCTTATTCATAATTATTATTTTTAAGCTTTATGTAGGGGGCTACACATCTTGATGATTCTTCAAACTTTATGGGTGACTTAGTATTTTGATAAATTACAATACACTTGACACACACCTCTCAGCAATGACACGGCTGATTCCTAGGGAATGTTTTCAAGATAATAAAAATCTGAGACACTGAATGATAACTGAGTTTAAAAACTTTAGGTCTATTATCTTCTTAAACTATAATTTGGTATGTTCAGAAAACCATACTACCATTAATTATTTAAATTATCAATGAAAAACATCAATCTATTGTAAGATTTGCAATCACTGTTAAAAAAAAACTGTTAGACAATTATTTGTAACAAATACAAATTTAAATGATAATAGATTTTAAAATTAAAACTTGTATACTTTAAAAGTAATTTTAAAATAATTGCAAACAAATCTGAGGATATTTCTTCAATAAATATGTTAAAATAATAGACCTTTTTAACAATGAAATATATACAATTATAAATGAATATGTTTTTTGGTTGTTATATGCAAGTCAAACAATTTAAAAAAAATAATTCCTAGCAGTGTTCATCTAAATTTTCTTGCTTTATAGTGACAGCATGCAAACTATTGTTGATTTGCTGCTTACAGCTATTTATGGATAACTTGGAAATTTTGGATGGCCTGTGTTCTGTCGAGTACTGGGGAGGAAAAACCACCATGTCGGGTTTGTTGGCAGGATCTGAATTATGTATTAAAGTTACAGGTTCCAGTTTTAGATTGTTAAGTGGCCCAAAGTTTAATACACTGTCCTGGCTGACTGAAGAGTCTGAATTAGAGTCCCTATTAACATTATTAACACTTGGTGAAAGTTTTGTCACAGCTGGTGGATGCTCCTCCAAAAATTCTTCATTAGGAATAAAGTGTGAGGAAAACCTGGGTTTCACACGACTAGGCAGAATCACCCGCTCTGTATTAATTCCATCTGTTAGAAACGAGAATGGCTGAGTGAATTTAACTGATATCAAAAAGAATTTTACAAAACATAAAGTCAAAGAGCATTATTAAATCAAAGCATTGGGGTAGAATTAATATGTTATCTAACCATATCTAACCAATACAAATTAAGTTGTAAACTTTTAGAATAAATGCTATAAGTTATAAGGAATTAAATGACAATAGTAAAAAAAAATATTGATAAATTGTAATAAACCTTCAATATAACTTCAATATAAGTAAACTATCTGTTACAAAATTGTTTAATCCAAATAATCTAACTTCAAGTCTTACCTTTTTTTGCTAATCTTTTAATTTCTTTCCTTCTGTTGCTGAACCAAGTTGCGACATGAACATGAGTTAACTTTTCCTTTTCTCCAAGTTCACGAGCAGCTACAGATATAAACATAAAATATCTGACTCAGGACATGCAGTTAGGATCATTTCTAAAACATACTGAACAACCAATGAAAAAGTTAACTCTTATTTTCATTAGCTTAATCTAGTAATGACTTTAAAAACTGTTAGACCCAACAATGTATTTCACAGAATTTGGATTTTAAAATGTAACCCTAACACCTACACTTCATTTTTATTTTAAAAATTGTAAATGTTTAGCATGAAGTATGATTTTAATTCTTTAAACTTTGCATTAGAACCTCTTATAGTTTTGTTAGTTTACCTTCAGTTGCCATGGCAATGTTGCACTCATTAGCAATATGCTCTTTCTCTTCCTGTGATGGGTACTGCCCTAGTTTAAAAAACCTCTCTAACACTTCCAGATGCTTTTCTCTGAAGGTAAATCTCTCTCTTCTCGGAACAAAATGAACATCAAGTCCTTCTGAATACCCTGTCAATAAAACAGTCTTGCACTATAGAAAAATATTACTTTAAAAAATCTGTATTACATAAATAGTTTGTCAACATGATTTTTCATAAAACATGACTAGGTCAAAGGGCAAGTTCAAAATTAGTTTTAGGTAACAAAAATATGTCACATTGCATCAATAATTAAATGGGGAAAAAATGAAAATAGTGTGAAAGCTAATATACCATAGCAACCTGTATAGATATTGTTTTGTTTCTTTGAACTCTTTTGAACCATATATAGTTAAAAACAGAAAAATTTGTTGAATTTTAAAAAAAAAAGCACCTGATAATCTGATTATCAGTCACACACACAAAAAAAAAGACCAACAAACCTTGAAATTTTACAAGTTGACTAAAATCTTCAGAAATACTATCAATATCTTTCAACTTCTCCATAAACCAATCCAAAAGTCTAAGTTTCTCTGAAGGATCTATGGACTGTATGTCACCTGATAAAAAATGACACATGGCCATTTCTCCTACACCTGTACAGAGACAATAATATAGCATTACAATTATAACATACAAGTATTCACAAATTAGTGGCAGCCAGATACAAGAAGAAATTAAGTTTAAGCCCTAATAATGTTAGCCCACCTAACCCAACCAAAGATTAGTTGTGTTAAGTTGGGAAAGAAAAACTGCATTAGCTAAATATACAACAAAATTTTCAGTCTGATATGCTTAATTAGTAGGATCAAATGAGCAAGGGCATTACCAATTTCTAAAGCTTGCAACTTGGCATCAAATGATGGATTTGATCCGACAAACTTACTAACAATTTCATGAAAGCTGTCCTTGTTATTTCTATGAATAAAAACATGAATATCAAGTTCACTTTAAAGTTACTTTTAAGTTAAAGTACTTTTTTTCTTAATGATAAGGCATAATCATAATACTGTTAGTGTTTATTAATTCAAAATTTGTAATACCATGTATCTAGATCATTATTTACAAGGTGTACTACTAATTAATAGAAAGCAGTTAACTCACAAAACCACCAAGAAAATCCATCACCACAAATTTCTTATACTCAACAGACTCTAGAAACTTTAAATGAGAAGTTATTTCAAACTTAGATGACTCACCCCATCAAAAGAGCAGTAAGCCTATCAATGCCATGACTAGATTGATCTAAGTGCTGGTAAAATACAGAGTGATCTGCCTTTTGTGTTTCCATATGTTTGTAATTTTGTGAAGAATTATGACTTGAATGTTGACTAGAATTAACCATTCTAGAATTTATGGGTAGAGTTGATATCTGTCAAGTAAACATACAATAACAAATCATTTTTTAAACAATAATATCAAATTTTAATTTTAATTCAAGCAAGTTTATTCATAAATCATAAAAACATACCCCTGAATTTTTTCCAGTCTCTGATACTGGTACAGAATATATACTTCCCAGCTCGTTCTCTAATCTGTCATAGGCCTGGAAGGCATCAATAACTTGCTGGTGGGTTATTCCACTGTTTCTCAACCTGCGAATCAACTCAACTTGTTCTACAGTGAAGGAGTGTGATGACAGCATTGTGTTTTAGAAAAACACTTTTCTAGAATTAAAAAAAACAACACTTTTTAAAAAAAGATCACTGCCAAGGATTCATTTACATTTTTGCTTGTCTATTAGAGACATAAGTTGGATGATTATTAAAAAAGGTATCGTCAATAGTAGAAATGCAATAGCAACCTTAACCTCCCCTGAGGTAAATAGACTCAAGATAAGAAAGATTATATGGGTATGAAAAGCTATATAATGATTTGGTACTTTGGTACTAAAAAAAATAATTATAATTCTGTTTTTGCAAAATTTACTATCCTAAAGATAATGAATTGTCCTGCTGAGGTTTCTATGAGAAACTTTGATTTTTCAAAGCTCTCTTTAAAATAAAGGATTATGGTATGGTTTAATGATGTTTTGGGACAATTATTTTTACCTGTCTTGTATAAAATAGGCTAACTTTATAAATGTTGGGATGTTAGTTGTATTCATCATGGGGAGGGGGGGGGGGGGGGGAGAGAATTCATATAAATATAAAAAAAAATTGATCTTGATTTTAGGTCAAATGAATGAGACTTATACTATAGTAATATGAAGTAGAGATAGTTGTCTATTGAGATTTTATGTAGGTTTAACATTTATTACTTGGTTGTGTTGAAAGTTTTGTTACATTTTTGTTTTATTATATCATGTGCACAACACCTAAGTAAAGACATTAATTATTAGTTAACTGGTAGTATTCTTTTATAATCGGCAGCCTAACCCATCTTTTGCAGTGGAATTATGAATGTCATGAATTGACAGAATTGATTCAATATTTATTATTTATTTATCAAGCTTGATACTATCATAATCTTAATATTTATCATAAGGCTGCTCAGATGCAATCAACAAGTGCCATTTAAGAATGTCTGCACTTTGAAACATAAGTTTAACCTTCAATGGTTGTGTTATAAACTATTTGTGTTTAGTGTAACCAAGCTACTTTTGTTACTAATGTTAGTAGATTCTTATACTTATACTGAATATACTCATGCTGTAACTAGACACTAGCTAGTAAGATAGGTAACTAGACCAGCTAGTGCCTTCTCAATAAGACTAGGTCTGGGGCCTAGATTTATTTCTTAAACCAGGCTAAGACCAAGATTCTCTAGATCTAGAATAAATTTTTTTTATTATATGTCCTAGCCCTATTCGGCTCAACCAAACATTTCAATCATAACTGCAAAACGTAATAAAACCAATTCAAGATTTTGTAATTTTTGGAAATTATTAGTTTAATATTAATATTAGGATCTACTTTTATTATTAGTTAGGTAGATTCTAGATCTAATATATATTAGAATATAAATTCTCATTCCTCCTCAATGCTATAACCATGAGACGAATGACTTGTGGGTTTTGTTAGCTTTAAAATCGCTACAAAAATAGCTACAAAAATAGGGGCCTAGAATCTAGAAATATGTTACAGTAGGTTACTGTGTGTAGTGTAAGGACTAAGGTTAGGTAAACTGTAAAATAAAATGACCCAAATTTAGGGCATTTGCCATTTATTTTTAGGACCATAATTTTTTTTATAAATACCCAAAAAATTCAAAATCAGACCAACGCGTGTTTTTGAGGGGTAAAAATAAATTAAAATAGTTAAAAGTTATAGCCGAAATTTGTAATTAGCCGAAATCGCTAGGTTACTTACTGATGAAGTAATAAATTCTGAAACGTTAGCTTTCCTCAAATCGAGGCTAACCTTAATCCTAACCCTAAACATGTTTTAGCCTTTCAGCAGCCCAGATTTTGATGTAGCAGAAAGCTATTTACAATTATTTACACGAGCAAGTTTTAAACAAGCTAAAGAATACATCTTGCATTTTTATGTTTTTCGTTTGTGATAATATCTTCAATATAAATTTTATTTATTCTTTTAATTTGTAATAATACCTTCTACTCCTGATTTAGTTCAAATCGTTTTTAAAAATACACTTTTGATTTATAGATCTAGATCTAGTTGTTTTAATGAGATTGCGTATTGTTAATGATTTAATTTTCACATAGCACTTTCATCCAGGTCTAATTGATGACAAGTGTTTGCTTTTTAAATTACAACTCTACCATACCTCATGTAACATAATTACATAATTATATAAATTATATACATTTTTAGATCTTCCACTTAAAAACACGACATAAACCCACTTATGTTGTTGGAACGCATGCATCATTTACATAATAGGTGGTTGAATAAGTCAATTATAAATTATAAGAGATTTATGATTTATAAGTAGAGTGTATGAAGTTTTCTTTGTTTTCTTTAATATCCCATGTCCCCACTCTTATACAAACTTCGTTGCAATCAACAGAGTGGAATAGGCTCTACTTTAACATCTAGTCGAAGATATAAAGCTCGTGAAGTTAGCATAATAAATACTGCTTGTAACATATTACTGTATTATAACAAACTAAGGTTTACTTTTTTATTTTTTAAACTGAAATTCAATAAACCAAAATACGTTTTCTATGGTGATAGTATTACAATTACTTGCGATGTTAAAAATAATGTATCGATTTTGCTGCTAAAACTGGGCATGCTTCTGACTTCAATATATCACCAACAAATCGATAAGTATATCTAAAGCGTTGTATCACATGACCTTGCAGTTAAAGATTAGCCTAAGTATTTGTATGCAGCTATGTCGGTTTCGTTTTGGTTATATGTAAGCTTACAACTTCTCATTTTTATGTATAAAAAAAAGACAGGTCTTTAAAAATGAGGGAATGGCCGGATAACAATAGTTCCACTATGTGAATGTGATTACACCTCTCCGTTAGAATTTCTTCGCGCGCTGGGTGTGGGGATGGGGTGGGACGGTAAGAGGTAGGACTTACTGTCGTGTGGAAGTGGGTGGAGGGGGTTTGTGGGCCCCACTTTTGAATTTACAAAAGGTCGTTTTTTAAATTGATTTTAGCAGCCATTTATAAAAAAAAAATTTTTGTAATATGTAAAGAACATTGACCAATGCATATACAATGGATCAGCAAACATTTTCAGCAATAAATAGTGATTGGCTTTGTTTTCGCCCATCTAAATCAACAATTCACAGTTACGTTTTAAAGTGGTTCAAGAGAAACAACTCAATTAATTTTTAGACATATTCAATCTTCCTTGGTTGTGTCCCCTTACATTATCGAAATTGCAAAATACAGAATAAAATTAAAATTATTAAAATACGTTACTGATCCCCACGAATGCATATGATATATACATCCTATAGAGGCACGCGCACATTCTCTATAATTATATATCATATGTACTGTTCGCATAGTCAAATAAAGATTTACAGACGACTTATTCTTCCTTTTTAACCATCTGTGACTGAGAGCAAGAAAGTATTATAGAAGAAAAACTGTTTCTGAAAATTAATTTTATTCTTTTTAGACTACGTGAATAAAAACAAAACAAGAACTAATGCATTTAATTTTTTATTTTATTTCAGAGGCTACTGTGATGATTACATTCATTTACAGGCCTAGATCTATACTGAATCGTTGGGAATGATACTTTAGACATATGGGGTCACCCATAAACGATATCACTTCTTAAAATTTTGCCTCCCACCTCATCATCGTCACGAAATCCCCCCCCCCCCCCCCCCCACAAAGTTACAGATTTAAGCTTACCACTCCCTAAAAATCACAAGATATTTATTATTTTTTTTTTAAACGGCGATTTCGTTTTAAAATACTGTCACAGCTCTGTCAACATCGGGTATATTGAGCAATATTTATTTTTTATTACAATTTGCAAAAAAAAAGTTTTTTTAAATACGCCCAACGACTTAAACTCATTTTCTGGCATTACTTTTCAAAAGTTCGTGTCATACTTTATGCACCCCCCCCCTCCCCCCACTTTCGTCACAAAAGTCAATACCTCCCTTCCCCTAGGAGCGTGACGTCGTTTTTTTTTTTTTTTTTGGACGACCCCCTACCCTAGTTAATTAATAATTGAAACAGCAGCCGGAGAAAAAAAAACGAGGGTAAACTACTAGTCAACACCGTAGTTACTAAGGAAGCTACATACAGGAAGTTTACATATTCTGCTAACTATCGTTTCCTATCTTTGTAAAAGCAACCTTGTTGAGCCATGAGTACGAATAACGAGATCAAAGATTTTGATGAAACAGCAGTCGAAAATAAATTGGATTATAGAAATATTGGAGATTCTCAACATCAACTCACAGGCCTAGGTGAAAATACAAATTCGCCCCTCGAAATAAATACATTTGACTCAAATTTTGAGCCTGCAGTTAATGTCGTTGATGAGAAAACGACAGAAAACAATGACACCTCTACAAGTAACGAAATTGAAGCTAATGAAATTACACAAGCAGAATCAGATAATCGAACATTTAATAAAATCGATTCACCTGCAAATATAAATAATATCGAAAATAATACACAACTAGATTTACTAGATGAGAATATTACTAGTACTAGTAGTAGTACTGCTAATAATACTATTATTAATACAGGCAATCCACACACTCATTTAAGACAAGTTTCATCCACTAGGTTAAAAAAGTCCAGAAAAAGCATTTTCATCTCATATTCTCCTGATGCCTGCTACTTGGAAAAAAGGTTTATTGCAGAAACTGTTCAGCAGTTAAAAGAAAACAATTTATCGGATGACATTTGGTTTGATAAAGATGAAAGAAATACCAATAACCCATGTTGGTTTTCCCTGTGCCTTGAAGCAGCGGAGAAATGTAAAGCTGCTTTATTGTTTCTTTCAGAGAGTTATTTTTCTTGTCCAGTTTCCTTGTATGAAGGGAAAATTTTGCTAGATAGATATCATTCCGTAAGCAATTCAGTGAAAATATTTTCAGTTCTAGTTAGCAAACCAGCAGAACATTTCAATGTGCCTGAACAGTTTTCAGCATTTATTGATTCTGCAGTTGACTTAACAGCAGAGCATGCGCACAAAAGTTCTGCAGAAAAAACATCAGTTGTAGTTGGTGCGTTAATGGAAGAGTTGGAAAAGTTGGCTGTTGTGAGGTCATCACCTCAACCTCTGGCTGCTCCTGATGCTGTTTTTACAGAGGAATTTAAAAAACAAAAAATCTGCCAGTGGTCTGCTAGTGATCTTCAAGAGTGGTTATTCAGTCTTGGAATCAAAGAATTCTACAGGCAGAGCTTAGCAGAGGCATCAATAGATGGGTTTCTTTTAATGTCATTGACAGACCACGATTTGAGCACACATCTTGGTATCGACAATCGAGTTGTGAGGAAAAAAATAATGCAAAGCATATTAAATATTTTAAACAATGAGAACAAACTGCCTGAAAATTGGCACTTGAGAGCAAGAGTTCAAAAATCAAAATCTGATCTTACATACTTGATATATGATCCAGCAGATGTCCGGTTAGCTCAGAATTTGAAAGCAGATCTTAAGTCTAAAAATCTTCAGGTATGTTTAAATTGTTTTGCAGAAACACCAACAGTGAAATAAATTACTCTATTGAAGTATTTTTTTCCTGTTTAGGTTTAGTATTACTGTCAAGGTTAGGGCTAGGGTTGTATTTAAAGACTAACAAAAATTTAGCATCAATACACCTTGCTGGTGTTCATTTAAGTTCTATTTTAATTTTTTTTGTTGTTGCAGCATTCAGGATACAACTATTTTATAATTTACTATTAAAACTGATGGTTTTAAGAATTCAATATTTTAAATATTTTAATCTAGTCATCCTTTTATATTCTTTATAACAGAATGATCAGTGATAAGAGTTAGGGCTGTGAAACCTTAAAATTAATATAACACAAGAAAGCATGCAAACAATTATAAAAAAAACTAAACTAAACTAAAAAAAATCTCAAATACAGATTCTATTGTTTTACTTGAAAGTTATTACACAAGCAGTTTAAATGTATATAAAGTATTTACGTATAAGCAATTAGAATACATATTTAAAACTGCAATTTTTATAAACTAATTATGCTAAGTTAAGTATATGAAAAGGATATTTGTTATTTATAAGTGCTTTATAATATATGTGAGACATTAAAAACGATTTTTCAAGTTAACAAGTTTTTACATTTATTTTTAGGTGATTCATCATAATACAAACAACTTAGGTCGCTCAAAAGAGGAATTTTTAGAAACAAATGGGCCAGTTTTAGCATCAGCCTCTAATGTAATTGTTATTGTAACAGAAGATGCATCCAAATCACCATTTGTTTTTCATGAAGTTCTTTTTGCTGACTGGTTAGGGAAGAAAATTGTGACTGCTATGTTTAAAAATGTATGGAATACGTTAAGACCATCTCTAAGGGCAGTTCTGGGTAAGTAAAGCTATATAACTAAGTATATATATATATATATCAAGATAAAACTTTATATATATATATATATATATATATATATATATATATATATATATATATATATATATATATATATATTTATATATATTTATATATATTTATTTATATTTATTATTTTTCTTCTTAATCCCATTCGTGCCCAAGACACATAAGCAGATGAAGTAGAGTTCATCTGATTCATTGACCGCGGCATATGAAGTGATTGTGTGGTCAGCACTATGCCCAGCCGCCTTTGTTTCCCTAATGTAAGTGAGGTACCCATCAGAGCTGAGTGGACTCAGGGACTTAACACTAGTTTTAACCCAGAATTGAACTCGAGACTCTCAAGTTAGCAGTCTAGCTCTCTACCAGTAGGCCACGCCGTCCCCATATATATACTTATATCTATATATATATGTAAATGCTAGCATTTATTTTCAGGAGATTGTCCAGCTGTAGACTTTGAAACCAAAATGTATGCCGAGAGTCTTGAAATTCTGGAACATAGCATCAAGCCATTGAGAAGAGTTCCAGGAGTTGTCCTTGAGCAAACTTATCTGAACAAAATGGCAGATGGTCTAAAACCGCTAGAGAGTCTGGTTCATTCAAGAAGTAGGGAGTTTTTTAACTGCAGGAGTGCTGAGATTGTGTGGTATTTATAGTATTTGCTGTGATTTTTTTAAAGCTAGAAATAAATTTTTTAACATGCAATACAGTATGCAATATAGGGTTAATACATTTTGAATGAAAAAAAAAGCAGCAGCAGAATAATTAGATCCAAGTAGTTCAAAACTATACTTGAACTTAGGTTGCATCACTTCAATAAGGATATAATAAAAATAAAATCATGTCTGCATTCTTTGAATAGCTGTTTCAAATAACTTTGACACTGTCCAAAAGAACATTGAAAGAAACAGGCAGAAACAGCTTTGGAAAAAGAAATGAAGAGTAAACTCAGGCAGCTATAAAACATTTCTATGCCAGAACCTCAAGATCACATATGGAAAATACCTCCCAAAGCTGGAATCCGATATCAGACTCATCACAAAAAATGGATAGTAAACAAGAAATGTTAGTTGACTTAGTGGGAGCTAAATATAAAAAAATACTAAAGATAGATGTAACTTGCTGGGAATTTTTTAATAACATTTACTAACAGGTAGCATATAGTATCAAGTCTCGTGATGTTCCCTAGAAGCAAAAACGAATAAGAAAAAGAGCAAAAATAATCCTGGAAAGACCTCCAGACATTAAAAGCTAAACCAACCCTTTTGCCAGAGCAAGCTGATTGACCAATGGGTACCAGAAGATGAACTTCAGAAACTAAAGAATCCCAAATCACCAAATGTCTCAAGATAGTTACAACAAAATGAACAGTGCTAAGTATCTATGGGTTGAAAATCCTTGATGTGCAACAATTAGTCAAAAGTATGTATTTTATAATGCAGCTAGAGTCTATAGCTAATAGAGGTTATTTAAACTGGCAAGGGAATAAAATAATTGAAATAATAAATGTTTTCTAGTAATTAAAATATTAACTTAAAAGTTAACTTTACCTAGTATTAAACAAAGTAAATAACTGAAATAACATATTATTTTAACATTTAAAATTAAATGTCATAAGTTTCTTTGAAATAATGTGACTCATACAACAGTGTTATTTAGCTACAAACTATTTAAAGTGTAATCTTTATAATGTAGGCTATAGCTAATTAACTTACTACTTGCCATACATTTAACACAAAAGTAATTTTTTCTTATGGCATTGTAATTATATTAAATATAGCTAACTGCTGCTGCATTAATATTTTTTTTCCTTGCTTTTCGATATTGCTAATTTCTAGCTTAAATCTTTACTTATTCTCTTATGAAAATTGTTTTTTATTCACTTAATGGATGATTGTAAAATTATCGTTGTTGTTATACTCTTTTAAAATATTGGTGCTTATTTTTTTTTTAGCCAACTGATCAGTTATGATAATTTAAAAAGTAAAACAATAAAATGCTTTCATTTTTCAGTTAAATAAAATATGCTGTTTAAGTATAAATTGATAGTTTGGTCAGATAACAATTTAAATACATCTATAAACAGGCTATGCTAGTTGTAAAATCACTTGGATTTTATTTTTCCGTTCAATCTTTTGCATGCTGACCTAATTGTTTAGGCCCATTTTTAATCTTTGCAATAACTTTACTCTTCTCATCATTTGTTTGTTTCATGTTTTTACATCTTATGTTCTGGTCTCTCTTTTAACTTCTATAAATATGTTCTTCATTTTCTGAATTGTTTTGCACTTTAACATAACTTTTATTACATTTATCAATCCTGGTTTTCTTTTCTTGAACTCTCCCATAAATCAAAATTTTTATATCGTTTTGTTTGCCAAAGAAAGAGAATAACATCATTAAAAATTTTCTCTAAATGTTTAAATAAAAAAATAAAAAAGGGGAGATAAGTTGTATAATAAAATGTAACTTTTCTTTTATGTTACCTAAATGTAATTGGCAATGTATCTTTCATTACACTGTCCTGCCTGTCAGCACTTGAATTAAAGCCTGTTTATTGGTTGAGAGACTATTTCCTTATTAAAAATTATCTCTAAAGATTACACAGACTGTACAATAATAATTTTGCTTATTTTCCAGGTAGAACAATATCAACAGCTCCTGTATTCAGAAAAAATCCACAAGTATTTATTTCTTACCAATGGGACATGCAAACAAAAGTCACAGAGATCAAGAAAGTTCTAGAAAGTGCAGGTTTTAGCTGTTGGGCGGACATCTCTTTGACCACAGACTGGCATGGACATAGTAGCTACAGCACCAGGTCATCGGCCAACTCCTACACAGAGTCCACTCTTGACACACTACAGAGCCAAATTCAGCGAACCATGAAGACATGCCAGGTTTTTTTGTGCTTAATCACCCCGAAATATCTCCAAAGTGATCACTGCGCAAAAGAGATTGCCTTAGCAGATGCTTTCCAAAAGCCAATTATTCCCTTGTTGTTGAAGTATGTCCCTGCTGAAACTGCAAAGTCGTTTATAAGGAAGGTTCTTTTGCGATACAATTATGTCGATTTGAGCAACGACAGGTTGTATAAACAAAATATTGGATTGTTAGTTGAGAGGGTACGGAGGTCAGTTGATGGAATACCTGTGAGGTAATTCTTTTTAAAACACAAATCAGTGCTCTATTGATTTTTATGAAAACGATAAATAATGACTAATATAGACCAAACTGTATTTTAAAAAGTAATTTCGTTTTAATGTAATTTATCAGTGTTTTATTAATTTTTAAAGTTTAGTACATTATAGATAAGTATTTGAAAAAAATTAACAACTAAGAATATTTTTCCTCATCAACTTTCATAAAATTTTAGTGTTTGAGTAGTAATATTTGAATGGTCTTAGATCTGAAATGACATTTAGATGTATTCGGGTAATGACCTTTATTGATTTAGAAGTAACCTGCACTTCTTTTGAATTTTACCAAATCTATTTTCTATATTATTGCATTATTCACTGGTGTCATTAATGTAAATTACTTATAAAGATTAAAATGTATTAATTTTATATCACAATCAGTATTATTGTACAACTGATTTATTGTTTTTTTTACCATAATTGTTTAGTAAAAACCAGTATTGTCTTGGATATTAAAATAATTTTTGTAACTACCAAATTCATCAGAGGTCAGTAAAATATTATTTTGAATCCAACTAAACTTCATGTGTGTGTCATCATCCTTAACTTTGAAAAAGTAGCTTAAAGCAGATTCTAACAGTAAAAATAAATATTCTTTCTACTAACATCTTTACAATACAGTATTTATGTAAAGCAGCTTTTATTTTATGTAAATATAGAAACTAATTGAACTATGTCAAGTTTTAATATTTAGGGTGTACTAAAATCTTAGGCTTTACTGTATGCAATAAAAATTGCCATTACAAAATACAAGTCAATCTTTTTAAAAATATTATCAGTGTGAGAGTATACATTGGAAAAATAAAGATTTGAGCTGAAAAACTGTGTGTGAATTATTTTGTAGTAGCATTTTAGTCATAAAATAAAATGCATGTTTACTGAAGAAAATTATTTCTTTAAATGGGGGTGTTGTGTAAAATGGAAATAAAGGATGTAACACAACTTACAGCTGCATTAGATAGGGAAGCTCAAGAGCAGAAACAAAAAAAAAGAATTAATATTTTAAAATAGGCATATAATTTATGTAAGAATTAACTAGATTTTATTATTCATACACTTAAAAATATGGCAAGAATGTTGTTTTTATGTCTTTAACCAATTTTTTTACCCCTTATTAATGAAGCTCAACTTTGTCTAATTTAATCCATACAGTCAAGTACTTAGCACATATTTTATTTATTGTAACATCTATCCATTTTTGCCCCTCTAAATTACTTGATTGTCCCTCTTCTTTTTTTAGCCTGTCCCACTTTTCACTACTCCTGTCCCACATCCCACCAACATGATGACTTTTAAATTTTGTGTCATAGATCTAGATCTATAATCTATATGGTTACATTTTCTACCCAGAGTCTCAACTATGTCAAACCTTGAACAATAACATATTAAGGATGGGAAAAATTTGGGATTATTCTAGAGCAGGGGTCGGCAACCTTTTGAAGCGGAAGAGCCAAAAGTTACAATGTTCAAAATTTCCCTGGTTTTAAAGAGCCACTAACATTTTTTTCATTTCAAATATTTTTTTTTTAAGATTATTAGTATTTGTTCAAGGAGCTGGAGAGCCGCATCTTGATATCAAAAGAGCCGCATGCGGCTCTTGAGCCGACCCATGTTCAAGAGTGGAAGGGTTATCAAAGGATACAAATTTTCCAATTGTTCAATAAACATAACCATAAATGGTTCAACAGACATAATCAACAATTCTGCGGTAGTTTCCCATCTTCAAAAATTCAGCCGGTCATTAATCTAATGCTTTTATACATATTTTAGAGCAAATTAATTATTCAGAAACTCAATAATTATCACAAATGGACAGAATATTACTTAAAAACGTATTAATAGGTGTGTAAAATATAATAAATAACACAATCATTTCAATGTATATTGTATTATTACGTTTGCTATCATCCAAAAATTCAGAAAAATCGTTGCTTCCCCTGGTTACTATGAATGTTAAAATGGGAAACAACTAAACACATTTTTTTCTCTAGTTCAGGGGTCGGCAACCTTTTGAAACGGAATAGCTAAAAGTTAAAATTTTGACAATTTCCCAGTTTTTAAAGAGACACTAACATTTTAATTTCAATATTTTATTATTTTATTAGGATTAGGTAAATAAATTTGATTTGTTATTTAAAATAAATAGCTTTAAATATGAAAAAAAAAATTATTTAAAAACATACACTTGTTTCGCCAGAATAATGAAATGAGTAATAAAAAAATAAAAATATAGGACTATTCCCCCTATCCCAATCCACTTTAGAAGCTGTTAATTTTTTTATTATTTTTTTTTTACGGATAACACCGGCTCAGGAGGTGTCTCCCATTAGCCAGGCAGGCCTCAACACGGCAAACTCCGACTAACTGGCTTGGATATCGGTTTGAATAACTTGCATCATTCGCTTCTGTCCTTTGGTTCTCACCAGGCTTATCTTCCACCCCACAGAGCCCATGGTAAACTCGTACCCCACCGTCCAGTACCCAGCTCGACCGTAGGAAGCTAATAAAAACTACGTCACTCATGTCAAATTAATGATTACTGATGGATAGGGAAATGCATTCTAAATTAACAGTCTCATTCAACGATATTCGAAACAGTCGGCACTTGGGCAGTGGCAAGCATGGAATTATTGTCACAGGGCTGGCTACAGCACGGCTGTGGGGCTGGGCCTGGTGCCCAAGCGGCTGTCAGCTGTCTACTCTCTACTCCACGTATTCTCATTGTTCTCTGATGAGTGTTTTTATCCTGTTTAAACTTGTGTATCTTTACAGTATAAATTTTGTTATGAGTTTTGAAAATAAAATAATATAATTATTAATATTTGTGCAGGGAGATGGAGGGCCGCACCGTGACACCAAAAGAGCCGCATGCGGCTCGCGAGCCGCAGGTTGCCGACCCCTGTTCTAGACTGATAAAAGAGAAAAAAAAATTTAGTGGAGGGTAAAATATGTGTCTCACAACTCTCCCATATATATATATATATATACATACATATATATATATATATATATATATATATATATATATATATATATATATATATATATATATATATATATATATATATATATTAGCTTCAGACTTTCACTTACGGATGCCTCCGCCTCAGATAGAACATCAGGTGGCCTGAAAAAATTGCCATTCCCGAACAGTTCAGAAAAACTGGGCAAGACCATATTGGTAAAGAAATACATATGCGCATATGGGGATGGGTTGGACACACCTTGAGCAAACCAACTAGCAACATCACCAGACAGGCTCTAGATTGGAATCCCAAGGAAAGTAGATAGGCCAAAACAGACTGAAAATGGTCAGCTGTAGAAGCCAAAATGTCGGAGACCCAACTTGGAGGAGTCGCCCGAAACCGAGTACAGTCCCTATGCTCCACAAGGGGTCCACAGGAATGATGATGATATAATATATTTCTTATTAGATTTAGCAATTTTTGTTTTGACATCGCTTCCTTAGTAGACTTAGTTTTAACTAACTTGCAACACAAACTCCCGTTTTGTGATGCGATAGGATGCCACACAGTGAGATATAAAAAAAAAAAGTGTTTTAGTTAAAACATCATAGGAGCTTGTTTATGTAGTGAATTTGTTGTGCCAACAGAATAGTGACAACTCCTTCCCCCACATACAGAGCTGTTTGCCCTTCTTATTTATATTAATGCTACCCTGAAAATAGACTAATAATAATTTGTAAAAACGGACAAAAATCATGGACACTTTTTCCAACGACACCTCAAGGAGCATTTATTTTGTTTTTCCCGAATAAGTGTCTATTTCCGGTCTACTTTCATTTTCACAACCATGTGTGTAGAATAAATATGTGGTTTGTTTACATACCAGGGCGCTGAATAAATAATAATAAATATAATTAAGAATTATGTAAGCATAGTGTAGACTAGATCTAGATTTAGTTTAGTTTTTAAATTTATAATCTATACTTACTTTTTGCAAGCCTACACTTTGAAGTTTGATTTTTGAGTAAATCTCACTCTGAACTCTGACAACAATGTCTTTTCAATGATCACAATCTCGGAATCTCCTGTCTCTGATTCTCTGGTGTCTGGTACTCTTGTCTGACGCACCAGTTACCACTTCGTCTTACTTAATTTAACTTAATTATTAATTAAACTTAACCTACTAAGTAAGTGAGGAAGTCTTACTTACTAGATCTAATCACTTCTCAAAGTTTCTGTGCAGCAGTCCAAGATATTCTAGATCGAGATTCTAAATTTAATCTTTTCTTAAATTTCTTACTGATCTGGGGTGGTCCATAACATTAAAATTCATTAAATGATGGCACACTCATAGGGGGAGGGGGGGTTCTGTAATTTTGTGATGGTTTAATGAGGGCGAGGGGGTTCAGATGGAGTGACGTCACACTTTTGTATTATAAAATAGCAATATTAGAAAACAAATTTTAGCCCTTAATTTTGCGTTTTAGAAAACTATTTTAATAAATGGTAGATCTAATAGGAATTGATTAAAATACTTTATGTTGACAGAGTTCAGACAAGATTTTGGAAAAATATAGTATTTTAAGAAAAATTAAACTGCAATTTTGAGGGGGGGGGGTTGTAGGCTAAGGTGTGAAATTTTAGGGGAGGGGTATGGCTTTTTTGTGACGATGTGTGAGTGAGAGGAGGGGGGGGGGGGGTAAAAAAATCACCATTGGTTTTTTTGATCCAGCTCTTTTCAGTCACTTTTTCTGCAAATAGCATTATCAAATAAACAGTTTTCCTTTATTTTTTTTATCATTCACAGAGAAAATCAAGAATGTCTTTTACACAGAATCCAAGTAAAATTTTTGCTGGATATAGAGCATTAGGTTTTGTGAGCAACCACATACCACTGGCTACACGCTACCATAAACGACATAAAGATAACTATGTCATAACGTGTGTTGGACAAGCTTTCCATGTTTATAATGTGAGTATTCCCATTATTTTATTTTGAACATTTCCCCATAATTACAAGTATGGTTTTATTACTGTATATGATATTTATATTAAATTCAGTTATTATTCATGCTTAAAAGTAGATAGTGTTATATTAGTTTACTTATGGATAGATTAAAATTTTTATTTTTTTTCCAGATTAGCAAGCTTGGTATTGTTTCAGTCAGTAAGTAATTTTTAATAAATAATTAAAGATTAGTAATTCAGTCATGTTGGCTAAGTGATTGTTAACAAAATTGTATTCATAAATTTGACAGAAGAGTAATAAAGGTACAATTTTGACGTTGAAATTTCTTTATCAGGTGATCCACATCCAGATGACATCAGTGTTCTGGCTGTAGACTTCCGTTATGTGTTCACAGCAGCTGGCAAAGGTGTATATGCTGTTGCTAGAAATAAAAAGGTAATATTTGTAATGTTGGCTGTACAATTATAACCATTTCAGTTTGTTAAAAAGTTAAAATTTTATATGGTAAAATGAATAAATAAATTTTAAATTTTTTTTTCTAGATTGAAAAAAGATTTGTTGGTCACAAAGCAGATGTCTCCCTATTGCTTCCATTTGGACATCATTTAGTCTCAGTTGATGTTGATGGGTTTTTATTTGTCTGGGACATTAACTCTCAAGGTTTTTTTTTCAAGTTTTCTTTTTTAAAAATATTTTTATTCTTAGTTTAGAAGATTTTAAAACATGCATGAAATGCTGATGTGTATTCTTTCAGAACACTATCTTCAGATAAAGTTTGATCCATCAGCATTTGCTGTTACTGCCATTGCCCACCCTCACACTTATTTGAATAAAATTATCCTTGGGAGCCAGCAAGGCACTCTTCAGCTTTGGAACATAAAATCCAACAAATTGATTTATACATTTCCTGGGTGGGGATCTCCTGTTACAGCAATTCAACAGGTAAATTTATGCCGCTCATTTGACTTTGTTTTTATTATTCTCCTGTAGAATAAGTTGTAATAAATCACAAAAAAATTGAAGTTGAGAATCTGTGTAAAGTTTATTGTTAAATTCTTTAGGAATAATTGTTTCTCTTTTAGTCAACAGCAGTAGGTGTAATGGCTATTGGTCTGGCAGATGGGCAAGTTTTACTCCACAATTTGGAAGTTGACAAGACTGTTGTTAAGTTCAAACAAGATTATGGACCTGTCACAGCTATAGGCTTCAGGACAGGTGAGCTGATATTTATTGTGTGTGTGTTTAATGTTAAGTATCTGGATTTTGCAATGTGGATTTGTGATTAAATTTGGGCTTTAATATTTAAGCCTGCCTGGTATGTCATGTTGTTCATATTTTTATTTAAAAAAATAAAAGCTCTGAAAAAAGAAAGATTGAAAAATTTTGTTTGTTTTTATCAGATGGTCATCCCATGATGGTGACAGGAAGTACTGCTGGTCATATATCTTTATGGGATTTAGAAAATCGGAAACTTCACAGCTACATGCTAGAAGCCCATTACTCATCAGTTACTGGCCTTTCCTGTCTTCCATCTGAGCCTCTCATGGTTACATCTGCAGCTGACAACTCATTAAAGGTTTATTGTTTTTTCATTAACACAAGCACTTGGAATAAAACGAGCAAAAAAAATGCTGTCTATATTTTAAACTTGGAGAAGATACTTCAAAAATGTTTTTGTGTTGTCATGTTTTAAAAAGTTTTTATAACTGTGTGGGTGAAACAATGTGTGGGTGCTAATACAATGTTCTATTAACAGGTTTGGATATTTGATTTAGCTGATGGTGGGGCTAGGTTGTTGCGGTTAAGAGAGGGTCACAGCAGTCCTCCTTCATTCATCAGGTTTTATGGAAGTGATGGCCAGAACATTCTTACTGCAGGTTTGTTACATAAACACAATTAAAAAACCACTTTTATTTTGTCATTCAATTATCCTCCATAGACTATCTAACTATATGTTTTATCCAATTAAAATTTGAGTTAAAAATTTTTTTTAGGTCAAGACAGCACTTTAAGGTCATTTTCAACAGTACATGACAAGTATAACAAAAACCTGGGCAGAGCTTCCTACCACAAAAAGGCATCAAAAAGGGCAGGCTTGAAACTTGATAAACACAAGATGCCACCTGTTATCAAATTTGTAGCAGGTTTGTTTCTTTATCTTCTTATGTTGAAGAGTGAGGCATTTTTCACTTGTTTTATCATTTTATGTAGAAAATAGTCTATTTGTCTGTCATCAGCCTGGATATTTGTTTGTGGCAGTGATCTCTCTGACACCTTATGTTACACTCAAATTAAGAATAAGGTCTTTTGTACATTGAAAGCAGTGGGCTACTGACAATCTTTTTATGAGATTTACATTTCATACACAATTTGATAAATCAACTTGCTTGGTGAAAGTTTATGTCATTTATTAAAATGAGTTAATTCTGAATGTATTTTTCCACCAATGTAATGTGATACCATTTGGTTTAAAATTTGATGTGTAGAGTCAAGCAGGGAGAGTGATTGGGACAACATTTTAGCTTGTCACCGATCTCTAAGCCTGGTCACAACATGGAGCTACCAAAGGACCACAATGGGCAAACACATGATTTCACATGCCCGGTTTGAAAATGATGTTTCAGAACATTCTGTCAGTGCTACTGTAAGTTTTAAAAAACAATTGTAAAAAATTCACAATTTCTTGAGTTGAATTTGAAAAAAATATGCAATTTCTTGAGTTGATTTAGTATTGTTCTTTCTGTCTGTCCTGTAACCAAGTGTCCTGTTGACCAGTTGCCTTGAGTCTTGTGATGAATATATACCATCAGCACTTCTATGTTGTAACTATTGTTACAAGGTCACTACAATGTCTATATTTGACACTTTTAAGTGCATAGCACCAGCTAGATTTCACCTGTTAAATTATCACATTTGTTAATTGTATGTTATCCGTAATTATAAGCTGTAACAAAAAATCTGTAACCAAAGTCACTTAAATTTTCAGGCAGTGGATATAAGCTCATGTGGTAACTTTGGTGTGATTGGTTACAGTACAGGTCATGTGGACATGTACAACATGCAGTCCGGACAACATAGAGGAAGTTTTGGGAACCCTACAGGTGAAACATTTTTGTTTTATTTGCCCAGGGGTGATTAACAGTAATTTTAAAAATGTGCACTAGTAATAGTAAAACATGTTTTTATAATTCTCACCTTCTTGGTAAATTGTTTTTTAAAAAGCAAGTACCATTTTAAAAGTTATTGAAGTAAAATTTTAAATTTTTTGTCTTTTTAAATACAGCCCATTCCTGTACTGTCAGAGGGGTTGCATGTGATGCTCTCAACCAAAAAGTGATTACAGCAAGCTCTGATGGGGCGTTAAAGTTTTGGCGATTCAAATCTAAAGAATTACTTGGAGAGCTAAATTTGAATGTCATAACAGCGCAAATTTTCTTACATCGAGACAGGTTTGTATATTAAGCTTGATTTACACATTAAATGTTCCAGTTATATTTGCTTCTGGCATTACTTACTCAAGTAAAATAAATATGTATAGTTGAATAAAAATAAATGTGTCCACATTTAAATTGCCAACTAAAATAAATATTGTGTTCACGTTAAAATTTGTATTATTACATTTTAAAATGTTTATTTAAATTACTATTGTTTCCCTGTTAAATGTCAATTAAATATTATGTTTTTGCTAACATCTAAATAGTTCTATGTTGGCGGTTGCTTCTGATGACTACACAGTCAGCATTGTTGATATTGACACGAGAAGGACAGTCAGACATTTTTCTGGCCATTCATCCTCAGTTACAGACATGGTAAGTAGGCCTAACTGGTTCCATTTTTATCCAACACATAATGTTATAGTAGGGGTCGGCGTTGTTGAGTCGGTAAAGCTCATGGTTGCTAAACCGAAAAGTCTCAAGTTCCAACCCTCGGGCAGATGAGGCTCGTTAGCTGGGGACAGCCACTCTTCTAGGAGAGACAACTCCAAAATCAAACAACTGCTGCCTTGTAGTTTGTTCTTGGTTGGACAAAGGCTATGGAAGCAAATCCATAAAGAAAAGCAGGCTGAAATCGGAGTCAATGGCCTCAATGGCGCATAACCAGTTGACACGTAATCCTTAATTGTGATGGAAGCATGGTCGAGTCGGCAAAGCTCATGGTTGATAAATTTGAAAAAAGTCACGAGTCCCTCCCAACACTAAAAATTAAGAACGAAGAAGAAGATAATGTTATAGTCAATAACTTAAAGTTTTGCTTGTCTCTTATTTTATCTTAAATTATTACCAGGCGTTCAGAGCGGATGGTCGATGGCTCATAACTTCAAGTATGGACTGTACAATCAGGACCTGGAATTTACCTAATGGCAAGTAAGTATCTGTAAAGTACAGCTAGTTTCAGAATTGTTTTTAATGTTTGACTTTCACTTCTTAGGTGTTTTATTTTACCTTATAACTATGTTGATAAATAATATAGACATATCTTTTCTAGATTGGTTAGACTATATTGAAATGTTTTTCCTCTATTTGTGATTAGGTTGATTGATGTGTTTCTCCTCCAAGGTCCTATTAAAATGTTTTTCCTCTATTTGTGATTAGGTTGATCGATGTGTTTCTCCTCCAAGACCCTATTGAAATGTTTTTCCTCTATTTGTGATTAGGTTGATCGATGTGTTTCTCCTCCAAGACCCTATTGAAATGTTTTTCCTCTATTTGTGATTAGGTTGATCGATGTGTTTCTCCTCCAAGACCCTATTGAAATGTTTTTCCTCTATTTGTGATTAGGTTGATAGATGTGTTTCTCCTCCAAGACCCTATTGAAATGTTTTTCCTCTATTTGTGATTAGGTTGATAGATGTGTTTCTCCTCCAAGACCCTATTGAAATGTTTTTCCTCTATTTGTGATTAGGTTGATCGATGTGTTTCTCCTCCAAGACCCTATTGAAATGTTTTTCCTCTATTTGTGATTAGGTTGATCGATGTGTTTCTCCTCCAAGGTCCTATTGAAATGTTTTTCCTCTATTTGTGATTAGGTTGATCGATGTGTTTCTCCTCCAAGACCCTATTGAAATGTTTTTCCTCTATTTGTGATTAGGTTGATCGATGTGTTTCTCCTCCAAGACCATATTGAAATGTTTTTTCCTCTATTTGTGATTAGGTTGATCGATGTGTTTCTCCTCCAAGACCATATTGAAATGTTTTTTCCTCTATTTGTGATTAGGTTGATCGATGTGTTTCTCCTCCAAGACCCTATTGAAATGTTTTTCCTCTATTTGTGATTAGGTTGATAGATGTGTTTCTCCTCCAAGACCCTATTGAAATGTTTTTCCTCTATTTGTGATTAGGTTGATAGATGTGTTTCTCCTCCAAGACCCTATTGAAATGTTTTTCCTTTATTTGTGATTAGGTTGATCGATGTGTTTCTCCTCCAAGACCCTATTGAAATGTTTTTCCTCTATTTGTGATTAGGTTGATCGATGTGTTTCTCCTCCAAGGTCCTATTGAAATGTTTTTCCTCTATTTGTGATTAGGTTGATCGATGTGTTTCTCCTCCAAGACCCTATTAAAATGTTTTTCCTCTATTTGTGATTAGGTTGATCGATGTGTTTCTCATCCAAGGTCCTATTGAAATGTTTTTTCTCTATTTGTGATTAGGTTGATCGATGTGTTTCTCATCCAAGACCCTATTGAAATGTTTTTTCCTCTATTTGTGATTAGGTTGATCAATGTGTTTCTCCTCCAAGGTCCTATTGAAATGTTTTTCCTCTATTTGTGATTAGGTTGATCAATGTGTTTCTCATCCAAGGTCCTATTGAAATGTTTTTCCTCTATTTGTGATTAGGTTGATAGATGTGTTTCTCCTCCAAGGCCCTATTGATATGTTTTTTCTCTATTTGTGATTAGGTTGATCGATGTGTTTCTCCTCCAGTCTCCAGCGACTTCCATAGCCATGTCACCATGTGGAAACTTTTTAGCGACCACACACGTTGGTGATGTTGGTATCTACCTGTGGTCCAATAGGACCCTCTATTCTCATGTGTCACTGACACCTTTACCTGCAGATTATGTTCCTAAGTTGGCTAATTTACCAGCTACAAGTGCAATGGATGAAGGTGAGTAATTCCTTTTCTATTTCACTGAAAAATATATCCCTACACTAGTCTGTTAGATACTGTGCTATAGAAAGAAAATTACTAATTTACTGATGTTGAAAAGGTTCTCAAATTTCCTTGGCAGAATCCTCTGAGTTATCTAAAGAAGCCCCTGATGAAGAAGAGGAGTATGAGTACAAGTCGCCAGAACAAATTGCTGATGAGTTGGTTACACTTTCACTTCTCCCAACTTCACGATGGCTGAACCTGTTAAACCTGGATGTTATACAGGTAGGTGAATTGAATTTTAATCCCAAGCAGATGAGATAGATCAGCTAGGGTTTGCAACCAGTCTAGGAGAGGAAATTTGCTGATTTGTTTTTGGTTGAACCAAGGCTATGAAAGCATGTTTGAAGAAAAACAGAATAAAATCATAATTAATGGGACATATGGACATGCATAACATATTGACATGTAATATTTTAGTATGTTGGAGGTAATCCCTACCAATAAGATTTTAAAATAATCTGGTAAACAACAGTATTCAGCCTCTAGCAAGCAAAGAAGATAATCACAAAAGGTCTAAAGATGACTAGGTGTAGGAGGGTCAGAATAAACTAAAACCTAAATATTTCTAATAACATTTTTTTTCTTTTTCCGTATCATAAGATGAGGAATAAGCCCAAAGAACCCCCCAAAGCACCAAAGTCTGCACCTTTTTTCCTGCCCACAATAGCTGGACTTGAGCCTAAGTTTGACATACAGGAGGGAGGATCAGATCAACAAACTGTAAGTGATGGAATGTATTAGAATGTTGTATGGTATGTTAGAGTAATGGAAGATATTAGACTGTTGTATGGTATACTAGAGTAATGGCACATAGAATGTTGTATGGTATGCTAGAGTAATGGCACATAGAATGTTGTATGGTATGCTAGAGTAATGGCATGTATTAGAATGTTGTATGGTATGCTAGAGTAATGACACATATTAGACTGTTGTATGGTATACTAGAGTAATGGCACATATTAGAATGTTTTATGGTATGCTAGAGTAATGGCACATATTAGAATGTTTTATGGTATGCTAGAGTAATGGCACATATTAGAATGTTGTATGGTATGCTAGAGTAATGATACATATTAGAATGTTGTATAATATGCTAGAGTAATGGCACATATTATAATGTTGTATGGTATGCTCGAGAAATGGCACAAATTAGAATGTTGTATGGTATGCTAGAGTAATGGCACATATTAGAATGTTGTATGGTATGCTAGAGTAATGGCACAAATTAGAATGTATGATATGCTATAGTAATGGCACATATTAGAATGTTGTATGGTATGCTAAAGTAATGGCATGTATTAGAATGTTGTATGGTATACTAGTGCATAGGCTCCTTCAGTTTTGAATTGTGACTTTGTAATTTAAAGATATGACCAACTTGTTCTAGTGGTTAGCTAGTTTAAATTAATAAGTTAAATGTTGCTGGTGATTTTCTTTTAACTCTCCTGTTTCCCCTGATATCAATTATTAAAAAAAAACCTTTGTTTTCTTCAATGCAGACTGAAAGCCACATTAAAAAACCTCTTCTGGGGTCACTGTCAGATTTAGGCATACAACTTACCAAAGCACATCAACAAAATTCTTGTAAGTAAAATACTAGAAATGAATCAAAATGTAGTTTTATTTATTTTTCATCCAAATTATTTTTCTTTCTCAAAAAATGGTGACATTTTTATAATGACCAATAATTGCAAGACCAGGTTCTTTTAAACAATTTACATAAATTATCAGCCAGGCATAGTGGAAATTTGTTTTTGAGAATTCAATTTAACTTAGTACAAAATTCAATTCCAGATGACCAAGTCCTGTCAAGTATGAAAGAGATGGGCCCATCAGCCATTGATAAAGAAATAAGGTTGTTAGCAGCAGAGGAAGGGGGCAGTGATGATGTTATGATTTATTTCTTGGAATTCATACAATCAACCCTGCAGTCCAACAAAGATTTTGAGTTAGCCCATTCTTACCTGGCACTTTTCCTGAAGGTAAATTTACTTGTTAATCATAGTCATACCTTTTTAAGGAAAAAGTTGAGGTTGTCAGCATAGCGTAAGCAGCCAGAATGTCATGTACCCTATTTGGAGGAATCATCCCTGACAGACAGGAGTGATGACAATACAAGAATCAGATAGCTTTACCAAAGATGTATTGCTATAAGTATTGTATAAGCACTTGTTACAAAAATAGGACTGGCTAAACAGATTATCTATAATAATAGTTTCGCTGTCTGTCTATCTATCTATCTATCTATCTATCTATCTATCTATCTATCTATCTATCTATCTATCTATCTATCTATCTATCTATCTATCTATCTATCTATCTATCTATCTATCTATCTATCTATCTATCTATCTATCTATCTATCTGTCTGTCTGACAAGAACGCTCTAGAGAAAAGACAAGCAATTTAAAAACATGCATAGTAATTCGAAAAACGAAGTATGACGTCGACACATTTAGCGCACAGAGTAGAAAATAATCTCAAGCCGGATAGTGCACACATTTATATGACGTCATTGATTATCGAGTAAACATTCAATACAAAGGCAATTTGGTCTAATCTAAGTGGTTTGCGTGAAGAGTTTCTTTCATACAATTCTTCGGGTAGGGGCGAAGCCCCACTCCCGCGTAAGAACGTCTGAGCCCCCCCCCCCCTCCCCAACTCAAAAGAAATTTCCTCATCGATACTCTATAATAAAATTACCGCCTAATTAATGTGTCTAATCTAAAAAGTGGTTTTCTTGCAATTTCTTTAATGCAATTCTTCGCGTAGTGGCTATGCGCGACACCAGTGTTTCTTTCAGACTTTTTCCTCCCCGGAGAGGGGTGGGGGTACTTGAAATTTTCGGGGGCGGGGGTAGAATTTTCTGGGAGGGGGCGGACACTGGAAAAAGTATATAATTATATTTCGTTGAATGGGACGGTAGACATGTTTTTTTGGGGAGGGGGGGGGGGGGGTGGTGGAGGGGTAGGGGGTGGAGGGGTGTGGGGGTGGGGGGTGGTGTGTGGGGGGTGGGTTGGTTTCAGTGTTTCTTTCAGACTTTTTCCTCCCCGGAGAGGGGTGGGGGTACTTGAAATTTTCGGGGGCAGGGGTAGAATTTTCTGGGACGGGGCGGACACTGGAAAAAGTATATAATTATATTTCGTTGAATGGGACGGTAGACATGTTTTTTTGGGGGGGGTGGAGGGGTGGCGGGGGTGGGGGGGGGTGGGGGGTGGTGTGTGGTGGGGGTGGGGGGTTATGTATGGGGGGGTGGGTTGGTTTTAGTTTAGAGAAAAGAGACAGCACTATCAGCCTAGCGCCCGTTGTACCCTTCCTCAACGGGCCATTTATCTCGTTTAAGAATAAGAATGCAAGCATTTAAACAACAGATTTGGCATAGTACCATGGGTGTACATCCAGATGTCAAATAAGTTATTTTTTGATTGACAGCTTGTTTCAAAATAAAGGCTTTTGTGTCTTTTTGTTAACCTTGTATTTATTAAATTTAAGTAATTAACTTGATTGTAATAATTCAAACATTTTTTCTTGCAGGTACATGGAGAAGAATTAACTCAAAAGCCACAGTTCTCAGAGAGCCTTGAGAAGATTGCTTCAACACAGATCCACTCATGGAATAGAATACAGACATTGTTACAGAAATCTTTAGGGCTTGTAGGGTACCTTAGGTCTGCTACAATCTAATCAAGTGGACTAACAGAGCTTGAAATCATATGTAATAAATATTTAAATATAAATATCAAGAATGCTTTTTACATTATTTCTTGTTGCATATAGGATAGCATTTAGCATAGAATAACATTCAAATAAAAAATACAAAACAATCTGAATTAAAAAGCACTCTGGTTTGATTATTCCATAGTTTATTCATTGTAATACTGCATTAAATCATTCACCTTGAATACAATGTAAATGTACATTACCTAAAACAAGATAAATGCATAGTTTCAACACCTAAATATTGTACAATTCACATTAAACAGTTAATAAAGAATGACATAAATATTAATGACAATGAACCGATGAAAAGAAGTACATTATCATGACAAAAAAGAATATATCACTAAGACTAGTTCAAAAGTTTTTTTTTAAAGATAAGGCACTATTTCAAACCTCTTTAAATGAGAACAAAACAACCACAAATATCTGATTTTTTTATATAGAAAAGTAACATATTTGTAGCAGAATTCTGATTAGTTATAAACTGTGGGGGTGAATTAAATCCTCTCAGTAATCTTTCAAGTCCTACATTTTGCTGGCTGGATGTGAAGTTGAGAGTCAGGCATCAACTATTTCACCCACCATAGCAATGGCTTCTATCTCCACATTGGCTCCCTATAAAACAGGATTAACATTGAGTCAATGTACACATGGTTCGAATATTTTAAAAGTTTTGGTAAATGAACACAAACATCCTATTACACAACTTACTTTTGGTAATGCAGCCACCTGATACGCTGCCCTTGCTGGTTTGTTGTTTGGAAAATCTTTAAAAAAAAGAAAATGTGCAAACTTTTAATTAGTTGCTTGGTATATACATTTAAGTAAAACATTTAAAACTTGGTACGAAAAAATTCAATGAAATGCAAAGCAGATTTTAAATAAATTTATTACCAGAAGGTTTTAAAAATAATTAATGTGCAATATTACAGGGGAATCATAATTGTTTGCTTTAAATGATGACTTACGTATGCAAATGTAATTAATAACTGTTATTTAAATACTTACATTTTGAATACACTTCATTAACAGCAGCAAAGTCATTAATGCTTTGAAGCAATACTGTTGTTTTCACCACTATAAAAATCATGTTGAAAAACATTTATTAGAAAATAATACCAAATCTGAAACTATTCACTATATAGTTTTAAATTACTTAAAAGAATAAGAGAAGAATAATCTCTTACATATTTAACATAAAAAACTAAACCCCATCTCAGTTTAACAATAGAAGTAATCACTACTTACCATTTTCAAAAGAGCTTCCAGCTGCTTCTAATATCGCCCCCATATTTTTCAATGCCTAAAAAAATTCAAAAGAAATGCACATTGGATGTGAATAAAACAACTGAATTGAGCATAACTCACTTTTACAGTACAAATTAATGTTATAAACTGGTAAAAGGCAACAAGTGACTGAACCAAAACTATGAGTATGGGGAATATTATTTGTTGTATATGAAATATAACAAAATAAATTCCCTCATATGCTGAGGTCAAAACTACTTCAATTACTCAATGGAATGTTAGGTCTGAAAAGAGGATTTTACTTTATACCAAGTACAAGGCTGACTATGAAAATAACATATTTATAATTTTTAAGTCACTTTAGTATTGAGACTTACTTCACTAATCATCACATGGTATCTTTAAAGAAACAATCACTAATGTGTAAACCTACCCCTGGAAGTATTACAAAAGCTATAACTGACATTACCTGTGTATAAAGTTGTTACCTGATCAGCCTCTGCTACAGCCCCGCCTGGAACAATTTCCATTGTTTCTGGGATGAACCCAATTTGACCAGAGATGTACAGCGTGTTGTCCACTTGTACTGCTTGACTGTGGCAAAGAATTTATTATTACAATTTACAATAATTTTAAAATGTGGTAACACTATTTAGTTATGGTGTTTGGGACTCTTCAGGGGTAACATGGCCTAGCTGTACAGCGTCAGACTGCTAACTCGAAAGTATTGTGTTTAAATCTGTGTACAAGTCAAAAGAATGTCCCTGAGTCCACCCAGCTCTGATGGGTACCTAACTCTTGTTAGGGGAAGTAAAGGTGGCTGGACATAGTGTTGACCACACTATCCTTTCATATGTCAAGGTCACAGAAATGGGTGAACTCTACTTCACTAGTCCCATGGACCAACAGGTTCGAAAGGGAACTTGACTTACTTTATCATTTGGGGTAGTCTATAAATGAGATCGCACTTGAAGGGGTTCATAATTTTGAGACGATGTGTGATGAGGGGGAGAACCAAGAAGGGTTAGATAGTGTGATGTCACACTTTTGCATGATAAAAAGTAATGTTAAAAACTGAGTTTTAGCCATTGTTTGCTTTTTAGATAACTGTTTTAATATATTGTTTTAGAACTTGATTAAAATACTCAATGTTGACAGAGCTCACTCAATATTTTAGAAAAAAAAACATGTTTAAAAAAAATCGGCTGCAATTTGTGTGTGTGCGTGGGGAATTGTGGGCTAGTTGTGAAGTCATTTGGAGGGGGGGGGGGGGGGGGGTCTTGCTTTATGTGATGTGTGATAGGAGTGGTGGGGGGTGTGGGGGAATCGTCTAAAGAAGTGGGATGACTACGTTGTTTTGATGGTTACTTAACATTATTACCTTTTGTCTAAGTCTTTAGTAGCAGTTTCAGAATAAAATAAAACTTCAGTAAGATACTCATACTGTATTTAGTATTTAATTACTATTTATTTTGTATTGTTCTGCCATAGCCTTAAATTTAAATCTCATTTGAAGATGAATAACACTTAGAATCTATAATTTAATTAGCCTAATTAATAATTATTTATTTAGTTTTTTACTATTGTAAACTGTGTAACTGTAAACTATTGTTCTCTCGATCTAGATCTAGAATAGATCTATATCTTAACGGAGTGGGATTGAGGCTCCTTTTTATTTTCTAATTTTTGCCCAGAGTTCACAACGACAGCAACTTTTCATTTCACCTGCAGGTCATCGTCGGTCATCCTGTCGTTATCACTCAGTCAGCAGTCATGATGACTGGACGAGTGCACAAAAGCAACGAAATCGAAATGCAGCATACGAACCTGTATGGTCCGACAGCTTTAGGGGCTTTTGCTGAGCTGATGATTTTTCTAACAATTTTAGATGCCATGGCCTTATTCTAACTTATTGAGCTTATTTTTCGACGTGGAAAAAATGAAAGTAGGCTGCTAAACCACTACAAAACAAGTTGAACCTAGCTTAGCATAAAAAAATACACGTCAAAATGTGAAAAGAAATCTAGCTCCGGTAACAGTTTTGCAATAACCATTTGTCAAATAGAAGAAAAACAAATATGTAGGCTATATGATCAGTTCATAAAACAAATCTACATACACAAACATTTTAGGCTACTAGATCTAAGCACTACAGCAGTGGAACAAAGTTCTAGATCTATAGTAGGCCTACGATACCCTCCCCCTCTTTATTGCGATACAAGCATTCTCCCAGACGTCTCGCGACACACATCAGCACTAATATAAAAAATAAACAGAGGCTAGATTATGATGAAGGCCTAGATAATGGAGAGGCGTAACCCCAAATTTTGGCTACCGGAGTCGATCTAATTTGTGATGCGCCAACAATCCAGACTAGTTGTTACAGCGTTCATGTTACATTGGTACAGCCTGTAGATTTTAATAGAAAAAAAAGCGTATAAAAAATAAACGAAAGGTTGTTTTGTGTTTTATTTGGCATTTTAATCAAATGAGTAGGTTATTTTTCAATCCTGTAACATCTGAAAACGAGTGTTAACTTTTTATCAGAGGCTGTCAATAAATTGCATAAAAATAATAAAATAAATAATAAAATAGGCTAAAAGCTTGCACGTTTATTATATAACTAGATATCTATATGTGTTAAATTGGGAAGGGTTTGTTGGAGCTAGTGGCCTAGGCAGGAGTTGTTATGAAGGAAGAGTCACATTTTCCCTCATAATGTAGGGCTAGACCTATATATTTTTATAACGTAAAACAGTTGTTTTTATGACCTTTAAAGTTGAAGACATAAAGCTTTAAGAGCACAGATCACTTCATTATCAACACATGTGAACTGAAACTTAAGTAGGGCAACTTTTATTTAAGGGGTCTGCGGAGTTCTCTCCCCCCCCCCCCATTTAATCCCCTCCACGGTATAAAGCTTTTTAAGCAATGTGAAATAATAATAATCGCTTTAATTTATTTTTTAAACAACACAATGTTTTTTTTTACAACTATTTCTAATAAGGATATAATACATTGATGTGAATCTCATAGTTTTTTTTTTTAAACAAAAAATTGTTTAATAGCCTTCTTAGTAGCATTTTTTGGTGTGTGGCAAGGGGGATGCTTGAAATATTTGATGGGTTATACAGGTAATATATGTAATATGTGCACAGTCCCAAAAGGCATTTAAAAATACAGTTTGTAAATTGGTCAGTATGGTCAAGTTGGTAAAGCTCATGGTTGCTAAACCAAAAAGTCTGGAGTTCAAACCCAAAAACAAACAACTGCTGCCTATATGGCCCATTACAAGTCCAACACAGATTCAGTAATATAGGCACTTGGAGGCAGTCTTCTTAAAGAAACTAGGGATTTTGTGGGAGGTTGCAAAATCAACAGCCAGGGACAGGACATAATGGAAGGTTATGGTCAATGCCCTTTGCCCAACAAGGATTAAAGAGGATTAAGTCAAGACATTTATAGACAAGTTTCAGGTAAATTAGGTGTAATGGGCACATTGCTGTTTTTATTTTACTAAAAAAAAGTCAATGCTAATATTTATTTCTCCCATAAAACTGAAGTATTTTTCTATTGCTTAAAAATCCTTCATCAATGTGATACAAATAAACAGCGACAATCATAATGACAATGAAAAAACATAATATGAACAAGAACACGGTTATAAAAAAACTTATAGTTTATTTGGTCCAAAATAAATGTTTGTAAAATGCTTGGTATCATTGTTATGTTTTATGGTAGTAAACAATAGCTAGGGAGCCAAAGGTCTTTGTCTTCAAACAATGCAATCACTCTTAGATCACAGAGTAGGCCTACAAAGGTGTAAAGACTCTGTTCATTTCATCAAGATCATGGAAATAAAATAACAACCACACCACACAGAATTGAAAACATTTTTTACATGCTATTGAAAATTCTAGCAAATTTAGACAAATGAAACTAACATGAAATGAAAAAAATTCTGGTACACAAAAATAATTGTTTGAATGTTTTAAAGTTTTTATTTTTATTTTACTGTACATCACAGATGCATTTATTAAGCTAATTGATTATTAGTGACTAGAGTGGATAATTATATTAAATCATTGTCATTTATTTAATCTGATTGGCAGGAATCAAGTATCATAAAAAAAAGAAATAAAATGTACAGACAGGGCTGAAAAAACAAAAAACCCTCACTTTACACAACAACAAATATAGCTAGTTAGTAAAGTATGTTTCATTACCAATATTTTTAATGAAAATATTTTTGAAGAATCTTTAATGAGATATCAAATTGCAATGTTGAAATGATGTACATTTAATGGAGTAAAAACAATGTAAGTTTTCAACATCTGATTGGTATTAAAGGAAGGAGTTAAATTAGCCAGCAGTGAATTCTCTTATAAGAAAAGCAGCTCAATCAATCAAGCAGTTTAGTCTAGAATAATTCTAGTAAATGGATCAAAATACTATCTAAATATGCATCAACTACATCCGAAAACTTAAGTTCATTTACTCACTTGATAGTCATTGGAAAAAAACAACATACGCATATGTATGTGTATATGTGTTTATATATATATACATATATATATGTATATATATATATATATATATATATAAACATATATATATATATATATATTAATTTATTTTATATATATCTTGTAAATGTTCTTAATTTAACATACATGTGTCTATGTATAATATGATAATATCTATAAACTTTTTTAACAAGAACATTCATTGCTGTCTGTATCTAAGTAAAAGTAAAACATGGGTATCATTGTTAGTTTGTAAATGGCAGTTCAGTTACTAATAGATTTCATTAGATCCTAATAAATATCACATGTTCCAAAGACAAAATAGTTAGCAAGGCACTATTAGGTATCTGGATTACTCTTACAGATATAGAGGTATTCTCTTAAAAACATTAAAATAATATCTCACTTTGTAACAATAATAAGAGAGTGAAGACTTTTCTCAGTAAGTCATCAGAAAGGTATTGATAAAAGTTTTTTGTAATACTTTTTAATATAGTAGAATGAGTGAAACAAAATTAAAAAGAAATTGGGTTGAATAGCAAAAAATCAAGGTCAATCCAAAAATAGAAATGTAGTAGAAATGGGGAAAATTGTTTACATATTTTTAATGTCTTATTGCAAATGAAAATATAATTGTGCATCAAAGTATAAACGTAAATAAACTGCTAGTTTATTTAAATTGCTAGTATATTTTAAATTAAATAACTTGTTACTTAAAAATAGCACACACAATATAAGAGTCTTATACTTTTGCTAATGAATGTTCAATTTGTAAAACAGCAGTAACAAATTGCAAGCAGTGTCAAGCACATCAATTACTTCAGCTGTAATAATCACAAGGGCTGTTAGCAAGTTTTCATATGTTGGTCTAGGCAAAAATTTAGTGGCTTTCGATGTTTAGGTTGATTACATTTTGCCAAACAATCCAAATTATTGGTGCAAATTTCGAAAGTTTTATCTTGCAAAAAGATCAATGAATATTTAATGTTTAAAGATTATTATAAAACTAGTTTGTGTTTAAATAACATTGAGTGGAATAATGAGATCATAGGTTTATTGGCCAGTCTGTCATAAAACTTATTGTTAATGACATTGAATTGATTGTACATATTTTCTGATACATGAATTTAAAAGCAAATAGAAGTGATGTGTATAAATGAGCTCTGTATATAAATATAGTCAGCTAAATATTTCAATTACATTCAACTGATTTTTTAAAGAATAACTTCTCTAACTTTAAACAAGGGAAAGAATCCATTGACTTAAATTTACCTATGTAAACAAACTACAATCAACTAAAACTTAATTCAACAAGAAGAAGACAATGAACCAGCTTAAAGACTATTTTAAAATAAAGACCCTCAAATTACTTCAAAGCCTTTAACTTTACATTTGAAATGCACTGTTTAATACAACTAATCATGTGTATCTGTAAGTCAGACATTCTAGAAATATAAGCTTCAACATGATGACCAGCAGTTGAACAAAATGTATGAAATGATGGAGCCATAAAAATGCTAATTTGTAATTACAGAAGTAACAAGTTGTTATTTGTCGATGCTGTCATTACCATTTATAATTGAACCTTCCCTACTACTTGACCTGCTCCATGATAAACTCTCATTATACCTTGTTCTTGATATGGTGTGTGCATTCTGCTCTGCTAAAATTTTAGCCCCATTGATGCCTCTTAACGTGACCCGACTAGGTTTGACAATCAAGCCACAGTTGGGTGGACAGGTGAAGTAACGCTTGCCCTGAACGCTGCCGTCATTTTTGCCTTTAGGTTTCCTCAGCTCCACCCCCAGCCAGGTCCCTTCTCCAAAATCTGTTGGACCCATGTATCGCACTATCCCTGGTGATGGAAAAGTTTAAATTTAATTCTGTGAACACAAGAACATTATCATACCAACTAAATCAAGACCAAAGTAAATAAAAATTAGATGTAGGCCTATACTGCAATTTTTTTTACCAAATAATAATATGATACAGATAATAAAATGAAAGACAATAAAATGGTAGATCATAAAATTATAGATAACAAGATTATAAAGAAAATAATCTACAGGTCAAAACACAGATAAATCAATAAATTAATAACTATTATAATATAATACAGCAGAAAGCTCTCTGGATAAATACAAGTAACTACTGCTGTGCTTAAGTTTAATAACTCTCAAAATGGAATTAATTATGTATTTATAGATAACGTACTGAATAGACATACAGACATAAAATATTAAGAGCAGCTACACAGCAGAGAAACTGCTTGCAGTACAACATTTTTTTTTTTGCAAATTAAAAAGCAACCAGAACAATGAAAGATAAAAGAAAATACTCTACACCACTTATGAATGTAGTTCAATAAACTATTATACTCAACATTTTTTTTTTCAGTATTTGAATCAGCAGTTTTACAAGAAATAATTGAAGTGGATCAAATGTTGATGGGGGTAAAAAAATGTTCACTTTTAATAGATTGTAACTGTACAAACACACATGTTCCAGTTAAAATAGGAAGATGAATTAGTCCAACTAATGCAAGTCTAAAATTCAAGAGGATGAGATGTTAACAAAGTGATATACATCTCTGAAAGGTGCTGGGTCAGTACTGGTGCTGAATTCAAACCTACAGAGGTGGGTGGGGTAAGACTATGAGGTTCTCAATCAAGTAAAAAAGATGCAGAGGAAAAATAAACAGAACAATCATCCTCATAGCAAGCTGTTTAGATAGAAAGTAAGTCAAGAACCACTAGGAATAGAGAGAGTTTTTGAACAAAAATAAAATTAAAAAATTGATTAAGAAATAAATAAAATTGTATTTTTGAAAGAAAATAAAAGTCATTTTTCTAGGCCTTGTCTTCCTTGAAGGAGAATAATCCATTTTAGAATATTGCTCAGACTTGTCAACCAATTCAATTACAATCAAAGTATTTAAGAAAATTTAAGAAAATATCACTATTAATATTATGGGTACAAAAGGAGCTAGTTTGCTTATAACATCCTGCAAAAATTCCTCAGTTTGGAAATCACTTTTACAATAAAAAATATTGAGCGTAAAAGAACAATCCAAAATAAAAAAAATAAAACTTTTCTAATGCTAATACTGTACAGTATAAATAAATATTTAATGTTATTTGTCATGCTTGATGAGAGAAATAAATTCTGACATGCAATACATTATTTTTTAATATATTATTATTATTTTTTAATTAGTTATTTTAATATCTAAAATCACAATACATGTACTTTACTATTGCATGTACTCAGAGTAAAGAAGAACTTTAAAACTTTGAAAGTTTGTAACTTTTTTGAAACCACAAAGCAGCAGCAAGCTTTCAATGTTGAGAAAATACCAGAAAAGCAGATGGACAGAAATTGTCATTATTGGCAACATAAGAGTAAGATGAGAAACCATGGCCAATTTGCTTTTCATATACGTACAAAAATAACAAGGCAGATAAATATATGAAATACTAGCCCAACACAATTAAAATCTTAAGTATTTGAGTGTTGATTCACCCAAGATAACTATCTCATTTTAGAAACCAGGAAGTGTGTTTAAAATTGTTTAAAATATCAAAGCATTCAAAGCTTAGTTTATAATATTTCCTAGATTTTGGATTACTAATTCCTGCCTATAAGTTTCTACAAGTTAAAATTCTATTTTGCCTATTTGGTACCGACTAACGCTGATACAATGAATACATTTAAATATTACAGAAAAAAAAATAGCGTTTCAGACACTGTCAAATTAGACTGAGGCCATACACGGTCTGCTACTCTGTTTTTTCTACTATTTCAGTAAAACAAAAAAATCTTCAAATATATTTTCTTCTACACAGTGTCGTTAAAACTAAAATCTTCAAATATATTTCGCTCTGTGTCAGTAAAACTAAAATCTTTAAATATATTTTGCTCTACCCAGTGTCAGTAAAACTAAAATCTTTAAATATATTTTGCTCTGTGTCAGTAAAACTAAAACAAAATGTAAACATGCCAGGCTGTAAGTACTGAGCACACTGCAGTAATAAAATATTTCTAAAAAAAAACTGGCATAAAAAGTACATTTCATTATGCAATTTACTCTTTTACCCCTCTACTTATGCAGCTTACCAGACTACTTAAGTTCTGAAAAAATCAACAAGACTTTAGTTTAAACACAGGAAAACTGCAAATGCTTTTTTTAAAAACTACAAACTAAGGGGGAAACTTTTGGAAAGGAGTTCAAAGTCTAGATAATGAGCATCATTCATATCATGATGAGATTATTTACGTCTTGCATGTTTTACAAATTAGTGCATTAGGGGTTGTCGCAAAATGAATATATATCAGTGACCCAGTTAATTTTATACTGTAAAACATTTTTGTTTGTGTGGTATTCGGTTTGTGTTAAATATAAATATAATTTTTAGACCTCAAAATTGATTGCATTTGATACAAGAGGTAGTTGAGAAGTGCACATTTTCTACTTGAAGATAATTATATCTGAATATATATATATCTGAACTATAAATTCTAGTACGATTAACATAACCTAATTCCTTGCAACCATGGATACCTTTAAAAAGTAAAAACAAGGACTTACCTAATTCATTATTGCAATAGTGGATACATTTAAACAGTTGAAAATATGGCTTACGTATTTTGTTATCGCAATCATGGATACATGAAAAAAAGTTTACTTGCCTAATTTGTTATTGCACAACACCATAACTCTACTAAAACAGGTTAAAAGAGACTTACCTAATTCATTATTGCACAACACCATAGCTCCAAGTTCTAAAACAGGGCCTGTACTCTGGCCTGGTGTTCGAGATAAACCAACACTTTGCGGCCTGGGTGACGGGCGGGTAGGTGTTTGGTTACGGCCTGCTGAGAGAGGTGCCCCTAAAATGTATGACGACAAACATCTCTCAAAATTTGAAAAATTAATTATTCGTTAGCTAGTTAATCCCAAACTATAAAAGTACTGCTACTTATACTTATGTTCACAAAAAATGGATACAAATGCTAAACAATCAAGTAAAATTTTAAAAATTTATTTCTTAAATGCAATGTTTAGATCTAAAAAAATATTATAAAAAGTCCAACCAGAAAACTTCCTGTCCACCTTTTCAGAGACAGCCCCCCAGCTGATTGTGTCCAGGGATTCACTAGAACTGAAGCGCTTGTCTCCTAGTCTATGAAATATTAGACACATTTTTTTAAATAACAATAAAAATACATAAAGAATATTGCTCTAAAATTAACTCAATATATGTATAACAATCATTTAGATTTTTAAAAACGTGTATAACTTAAAAAAAAATTCAGTTTTATACTAATCTCTCAATATTAGGCTAGTATGTGGTCTGTTATTTGAAATTAAAATGAAGCATTAATTAAAAAAATAAACTGACTTCTGTATTCTTGTGAGGGGTGCGAAGACTCCATGTTTTGTTTTACAGTTGAAGTACCTGACATCGTTAACTGAGCCGTCATTTTTTCCTACAGGTCTGTCCAGCTCAACGCCATACCAAATGCCTGCAAACATCACAAAACATTTCATTTTTCTAGCAATCACAATGTAAGCTATGATATACACATAGAAATTTTTTTAGAGAATTTTTTTTTAACGAATTTTGCAACTTTGGTTAGCTTTTGGTTAATGAACAATAATATTATCATGAAGGTATTTCCACAATCAAATAAGTCAGTTTCTGGTGGTTTTGAGTTAGTTCACAAATTATTCTATATTATGACACAAATGTCTAATACATAAACCAATTGAAAATATTTTAAAGCATTAGTTTTATTTCTGACAAACATTAAAAATTTAATTAAATTTTCTCAAGATCACTCTCATTTCTCAAGATTAATGAAAATAATGACCTAGAGGAATGTGAAATAACCATGATAGTAAGGCAATACAGTGCGCAGTCATAAATTTATGCAACTGTAAAAGAAGCGTGGTTCTCTCATACATTTTTAGTAAGGAGTAAGAATATTCAACACATAATATAGCCACCTATGCTTTTGTTACAGATATATCAATAATTGTTTATTCTTAAATATTTTCAGAAAAATCAATTATGTTCTTTTAAATGCATGTATAAAAATATAAGCTTGTATTTCTAAACATTATTATTGATGTTAATTTTTTTTCAAGCAGCTCTGGTTACAGTAAACACTTGCAACACAACCAAATATTGGTCTAACATTACACAACATACCAGGCGCAAACTGAGTTTCACCAATAAACTTGACAGTCCCTTTTCTTTGCCCGGCTACAACCACTCTGTCATTACACTCAACAATATCGGAGTCTGCATGTTTGCTGAGGCCTGTAGTATAAAAAAACAAATATATTTGTAAATATACTATGCTAATAGTGCAATATTAAGAGTTTGTGTATTTGCTTAGGCATGTGGTTTAGAAAAACAAAACAAATATATTTGTAAATATACTATGATAATAGTACAATATCAAACGTTTGTGTATTTGCTTAGGCATGTCATTTAGAAAAAAATAAATATATTTGTAAAATACTATGCGAATAGTACAATATCAGGAGTTTGTTTTATAAAAAGTTACATTTTTAAACATGACATTTGTACACTTTTCTAAACAGCATGCTATTCAAAAATGTTATTGTTATGCAAAAACGTTTATATCTTCTATTTCCCCAAATACTATTCTAAAAACATGTAAATTTTTTTTTTGCAAAAGATATTTTTAAACATTTAAGCTAAAACTGTGTTCTCCAATGTTTTAAACTTACATAATCAAGTGATAAAAGGTGTGTATAACGTAGATTTACTTCAATTACCTGTATCTACTTTGGCACTGACCCTCGACACATCTACATTAGGCAACTCCTTTGAGAAAAGCCTTTTGGGTGCAGGAGGTGTCCTTGACCTTGAGATCATGCCAAGCTTGGAGATTTTACTGATTGGTGCAAAGATTCCTATGTAAAAAAAAAGTCAAACTATTTTAAAATAATGTACCATTATTATTTGGAGAGTGATCTTTAAAAAGGTAAGTTGGACAAGGAAAAATCGTATCATAATTATTTGGAGAGTAGCCTATATAAAGGTATGGTTTGACAAGAAGTGACAAAAATGTACCATAATTATTTGGACACGTGAAGTAGCTGACCCCTCCAACAGTGCCATTGTTCTTTCCTGCAGGTTCATCCAGTTCAACACCTGCCCACACACCTGAGGCAAACTCAGCTGGGCCACAGTACCTGAGTATACCATTCTAATGGTGGTGGAGAAAAAAAAAGTAAAATTGTGTTAACTAATACTCATCAACAGATTCAAACTAAGACTGGCAAGGTTTTATACTAAAATAACGTTTATTGAGTTGCACTTGAAGTTAATGGATGGTTCTGATAAATTAAAATATAGAAATAACAATAAACAAAGAATAGATTACATTTACCCATTTTTCACTTAGTAAAAATATTTAATACTTATTTAAAAAAGCAGATTTTATTTAAATCACCAAGGAGCCATGTGGCTTAGGTGTGGCAATATGCCACACCACTGAGTTAGTCATCGGTAGTTAAACCATGTACCTTCATTCCTCCAACAAGGATTTTGTCTCCGAGGCTTAGCCCAAGCGCCTGCAGAGTTACTTTGCTATGGACGAGGTCGTAGTTTGGTGGTGTTTTCATTGCGGGAGGAGTGGCTTCACTCAACGTCTTTCTCACCTTGGCCACAAGATGCTGCATGTTGGAATCTTCATCAAAGGATGCTGGGTCAGGTACACAATCTGGTAAAACAAAATTATATTTCACATGTTGGAATCTTCATCAAAGGATGCTGGGTCAGGTACACAATCTGGTAAAACAAAAATAATATTTCACATGTTGGAATCTTCATCAAAGGATGCTGGGTCAGGTACACAATCTGGTAAAACAAAATTATATTTCACATGTTGGAATCTTCATCAAAGGATGCTGGGTCAGGTACACAATCTGGTAAAACAAAAATAATATTTCACATGTTGGAATCTTCATCAAAGGATGCTGGGTCAGGTACACAATCTGGTAAAACAAAAATAATATTTCACATGTTGGAATCTTCATCAAAGGATGCTGGGTCAGGTACACAATCTGGTAAAACAAAATTATATTTCAAATGTTGAAATCTTCATCAAAGGATGCTGGGTCAGGTACACAATCTGGTAAAACAAAATTATATTTCACATGTTGGAATCTTCATCAAAGGATGCTGGGTCAGGTACACAATCTGGTAAAACAAAATTATATTTCACATGTTGGAATCTTCATCAAAGTTTGCTGGGTCAGGTACACAATCTGGTAAAACAAAATTATTTCACAAGTTGGAATCTTCATCAAAGGATGCTGGGTCAGGTACACAATCTGGTAAAACAAAATTATTTCACAAGTTGGAATCTTCATCAAAGTTTGCTGGGTCAGGTACACAATCTGGTAAAACAAAATTATTTCACAAGTTGGAATCTTCATCAAAGGATGCTGGGTCAGGTACACAATCTGGTAAAACAAAATTATTTCACAAGTTGGAATCTTCATCAAAGGATGCTGGGTCAGGTACACAATCTGGTAAAACAAAATTATTTCACAAGTTGGAATCTTTTTATCCAAAGATCCTACATTAGGAACACAATCTGGGTAATAAAAAAAAGTTATCACAAAATTTTTTTATACAGGTATTGAAGATTGACGAACTACAATACTCCTAAAGATGACCAAAGACTGTACACAAAAAGCTTTACTAACCCACTGGCATTCTGCCAAGATCGTCTTTCAGAGAAGGGTTTGCTCCATTCTGTAAGAGGATTTTACAGGCCTCATGAGCGAGGTTAGAGGCTGCTATATGTAAAGCTGTTCCATGCTCAAACTCTGAGCACGTACTGTCAATGTCTGAGGAAAACATGAAGCAGGAAATAACTAAACAATAGATGTGGGTCCACATGCTTTAATCAGCATTCAAACATTCCAACCATGATTTTTTATTTATCAAGAGAGAAAAATATTTTTATCTAAATATAATTAAAAATAAACCGGGAGTAATCTCCCCTAAACTTTCTCGAATATTCTAATATAACACTACGTGGGATGTCAACTCGGAATATAGACATGATTTTTGTTTACTTAAACTTTTAAAAATAGAATAAAATCTAGTAGAAAAAAAAATGCGCACCAAGCTAGCACCAAAACCAAATGTGCGTAATAGTGCGCAATATTATTAGTACTTTAAAAATTTACATTAGTTTTTTGAGAAATCGGAAGTAGCGTAAATTACTACTTCCGGTCAACGGAAATTACTCAAAATTTAACAGAAGGTAGAGAATTACATCTTTTACTTACATGTGAAATTTCATTTATCTATCTGAAATAGTACTCAAGTTAAAGGCTTTTAAAAAATTCAAAATAGAAAAAGTACCACTTCCGGTTGTCGGAAATCGCTCAAAAGTTGATACGGATCTAGGATTTTGATATAATACTTATATATGAAATTTCATCAACCTAGCTAGAACGGTACTCAAGTTATCGTGTTTACACACGGACACACACACAGACACACACACACACAGACATACGGACAAGATTGCAAAATTATGTTTTTCCATATCAGTGAGGTGTAAAACGTCGAGATCTGTAAAAATCTCGCATTTTTTTTTTTGCACGATTACAATACTTTCTCTATACTTCGTATATACGAGAAAGTAACAAACAACAAAACTGCATAAAAGCTTATGTGAAATTTTCCATCACAACTTAAAAAAGAAAAAGGTTTAAGAATACAATTTTTATTGCCTAAAAAAGTATAAATACATCAATATTAATTAATGCACACTTGTTGCAGTAAATAGCAAGCCATGTTTGAAACAAATTTAATAATATGCTGCAAAGTACTAAGGATTTCTTACTTATAGCATAAAAAAATTAAATTAAAAAAAAATTCCGCTTACCTAAAGCTTTAGTAGCTTTTAACAAAAGCTTCAGCACAGGTACAACATCGAAGTAAGCTGCATAGTGCAGGGCTGTCATATTTGTCCACCTGCAGCGGATGTTGACATCAGCCCCTGCGTCAATCAGCATCGAGACAATTCTCATGGCAGCGTCTGGGTCACCAATCCCTGCGGCCCCAGACTTACTGGCATAGTGTAGCAACGTCATGTCTGTCAGGCCGTCCCTGTCGTTGATGTTGGCCCCTCTCTTGAGTATCTGCAACACACAGGGTAGAAAATATAAAAATGTGGGCATGATTTTGATTCACTGAACACAAACCTAATAGCACAAGATTTAATAAAGTAAATAACAGATATAACAATGAAGACGTGCCTTTAAATCTATGAAGGACAACCACACTCCCTGAAACAGAGTCAGGGGAGTTGTACAAAAGTAATAATATCAATTGGACTATGTAAAGAGTTGACGTTCTGACTTCATAAAAAAAAAATGTTTGGGTTTTTCTATTCTACAGGTCAAACTACTGTGTTCCACAAAATAAACAATTTATTTAATATAAATGTATAGCTTTAGTTAAATTATATTGTTCAATTTAGTGACAGCTAAACAAGATTTGTGGAAAAAGAAAACTACTAACCTCATCTACTAAAAGCTCCAATGATTGCTGTGTTTGTGGTGTCCATTGACGCAGTATGGCAAATATTTCAGGAATTGAAGTGGAGGGGTTGAGCAGGATATTTCTGCATCCTGGGCAGAGGGGATCAAAGAAGGATAACTCCAGGCGAGTGCAGTTCTCACACAGTGGAGGGTCAACGCAGGGGTGGATCATGGTTCTGGTGGCAGGGGGCGGAGCTTCAGACAACTCACCTGTCACGTGGCTCTCACTTTCTCCAAGTGTCATTCTGGGAACATGTCAACAATAAACAAATGATAAACATTTGGCTGTCATTCTGGGAACATGACAACAATAAACAAATAATTAACATTTTGGCTGTCATTCTGGGAAAGATTTCAAGTACAATATTTTACAGGAACAATAATAAACAAATGATAAACATTTTGGCTGTCAGTTTGGAAAAAACCCATTTGACTGAATGGCAGACAGAAAAACAAAAAGTGACCAATAAATAATTATGCATCACACATGCACACAAAGTTTACTTAAGAAACCAACCTATCTGGGTAAGTGTGCAGTACATAGGAATCTATTTACAATTTTTGTTTAAAATTTTAGAGCAGAAATTTCAGATATAAAAAAAACAACTTAAACAAAAATATCACATTGTGATCTACAGGGAGTTAACAAATTATAAAAACTGTTGTAACAAAAGCACACAGCCATGATCCAACAGAACCAGCGCCTTAAGAATCTGACCAAGCACACCATGGTATGGTTGCCATCATTTGTTTCATAGGCCACATTAATTTTTTTTTTATGTTTCTCTACTATTTAACACACTACAGCTTTTATAAAGGTTTCTACTAAAGGTCACTGAAAGCTGACATCTAAATTTAAAAAAAATAAATTTCGGTGAGAATTTTTAGAGTGATTTTAATGAGAGCCTCATATAATGACCTTAATGATAGACTTGTATAGTGACCTTAATGAGAGATTTGTTTAGTGACCTTGACAAGAGACATAAAGTGACCTTGAAGAGAAACTTTTATAATCAACTAAGTGAAAGACTTGTATAGTGACCTTAATGAGAGATTTGTTTAGTGACCTTAATGAGAGATTTGTTTAGTAAAGTTAAATGAGAGACATATAGTGACCTTGACAAGAGACATAAGGTGACCTTGAAGAGAAACTTTTATAATCAACTAAGTTAAAGACTTGTATAGTGACCTTAATGAGACTCATGTGTAATGACCTTAATGAGACTCATGTATAATGACCTTAATGAGACTCATGTATAATGACCTTAATGAGACTCATGTATAATGACCTTAATGAGACTCATGTATAATGACCTTAATGAGACTCATGTATAATGACCTTAATGAGACTCATGTATAATGACCTTAATGAGAGACTTGTATAATGACTTAATGCGCCTTGTATCGTGATCTTACTTGCATCTCCAACAGATGTGCTCCGAGGTCTGTGACCTAACACTGTTGAGACTGTCATTGATATAATCACAGCTAACACTCAGTGATGAGTTACACACATCTTTTGGCCGCATTCTTATTAAGTCTCTGATAGTTTATCCACACACTAACTACATGTCAAACACTGGCTAAACTTGATACAATTCTTAAGTCTCTGATAGTTTATCAACACACTAACTGCATGTCAAACACTGGCTAAACTTGATACAATTCTTAAGTCTCTGATAGTTTATCAACACACTAACTGCATGTCAAACACTGGCTAAACTTGATACAATTCTTGTCACTGATAGGTAAATCAATCCAGTAACTAAGTACAGCTTAACAAGTATCATCTTACAGCACTGTTAGAGTGAGAGAAACAGACTAGAAAAAAGTGTTGGTGTGAAGATTCACAGCAGTGTTAGCCTGTTGACAGATCTCATGTTTGATTAGACACATGCTAATCCACTCCAGCAGAGAGACAAGAACTGCAACAAACATCAACAAACCCAAGTTCACATTTAGGGAGGGTCTCAATACACACAGTAAGATGACTAGATGTTGGGGGGGGGGGGGGGGAGAGAGATTCTCAATACAGTAGGGGTAGGGGGGGCACAGATTTGATGGAGGATTTTCAATATAATGCACACAGTAAAGTTCCTTTTGAAACTGAAGGGCAAGTGAAGTAGAGTTAATCTTTTTCTTTGACCTTGGCATATGAAGAGATAGTGTGGTCAGCACTATGCCAAGCTGCCTTTACTTTCAAAATGGGAATAAGTCACCTATCAGAGCTGGGTGGACTCAGGGACGTTCTACTGATTTGAACCTGGATCAAACTCTAGACAGTCTAGTGCTCTACCACTAGGCCACGTCATCCCCATAATATATACAGTAACAGTACCTAGACCAGGTGGGGCTTTCTCAATATTGAGAGAAGGGGGCAGATCCATTGAGCTTCTCAAAACTTACAATAGTTGTAACGGATCACTGTAAGAGATTTTTTAATAGCATTGTACAAGTGGAGGACTCTCAAGCATTCATCAATGGTATCAACATCTGGTAAAGGGTTCTCAACACATACGACTCTGGTGCTAGTCCCATGAGTGGGTGATTTTCAAACAAAAAAGGATAGAGCTATTCCTTTTTGGGGAGTAACAATACATGCACAAGTGGTAGATCTAATACAGGCAAAACTGATGACAATATAAAGGCTAATGAAAAGCATATATTTTTTTGTGCTTAGTAAACTGGTTAGCAAAATTGAGCAAAAAAGATGTTCTTTACAGACAATTATTTTTATAATAATGCTTGCATCTGAACTGAAGTCTCAATTATAAAAAAAAAAAAAAAAAATCATATTATGTATGGTGTTTAAGAAAAAGCCATCATCAATTATCCATAGTAGAAAAAACAAGAGTGAAATCACTGAAATTTCCCATGTGAAAACAAGACATGCACTAGCTGGCCAGCATACAAAACATGTGATCCGTGAAGCAAGTCAACAATCAAACAAGATGAAGTGAAACAGATCGATGGATTCATCAATGTACAGGTGGGGCAGTCTTTTATGGTCTAGTTGTCTTATGATGATATCATGATGCAAACATTCACCAGCGCCCCCACCCCCGGGCAGTTTGACGACACACGTACATACAAGCAGTGGCGTAGGCAGGGGGGGGGGGTTGGGGGGGGGTCATAACGACAAATCGAAAGTTTGAGAGGGGGGTGCAAATCGAAAGTTTGAGGGGGAGGGGGGGTGCAAATCGAAAGTTTGTCCCCGGGTAAAAATTGGAACCCCCCTTGAGACGATCCTGGCTACGCCACTGCATACAAGACACAGTTATTGCACCCCCAGCTACATTCCAGCCATTCCACGACAAACATACATACAAGACACAGTTATACCCCCAGCCATTACACGACATACGTACATACACGCCACACATACATACAACACACAGTTACACCCCCAGTCACTACACGATATAGTCATAGTGGTTACAATATTATATTCTCCTTTGCGATGAACGCAGGGAACACGCATTCGTTTTTAAAACCCCGTGTCTTCAATCAACAAACGGGACTCTAGACTAAATCCTTAATGGTTTGAAAACTAAGTTGTAATGTTGGCTAACGGGTCATAAAAAACAAACAAAATAAAAACGTCATACTCCTCTGTAACGAGGGGTTAAAATGTGACGTCGCATTTTTGTGCTTTGAATAGTGAACAAATAATACTGGAAAAAAAATGTGTTCAGGTTCGTTAGAATTAATAGAGAGAAGAAATTAGAACAGTATAACGTCAGTTTATGGAAGGGAAGGGACTGACTATTTTGTGACGACTATGGGTGGGGGGTAAAAATCGGCTTATAATCTAGACGTCGATTAAAGTTTAATTTAAGAAACACAATTAAGGCTTGTCGTAATATACGGTTCTGTCCCCGGTATCGTTTGTAAGGTCAGTGTTAAATAGGAAAAGAGACTGGATAATGATACCGGTAAATAGCGTAGCTGGGGTTTAAAGAGAACTTGTTACTACTTGAGAAGTTAAACAAAACCAACTGAATTCAAATCAGATGACTCAGACAACAGAAAAACCAAGACAGGAAGACAATTTTTTAACAAACACATTTCACTAGCTGGTTGACGACTCAGACCACACATCAACATAAAACCAGAACACGCCCAAGAATATTTTTCCCTAAGGAAATAACTAAGATAAGTCCAGATAGACGGATGTTTAACACACAAGCAACACACTAACGAGCGGTGTCAATATTTGAGGCTAATCGATAGAGCGCATGTCAACACACCCAATCAGGTACCGCTAGAGAAGATTAGCGCCGCTTACATTTCTTATAATCGTATCGATTATGTACATTGAGACATCGGGACTGCCAAATTTGAACGGCGTCACGGCGAAGTGTGGAGAGTGTACTGGTCTGCCAGGTGGGTAGGGGAGTGGGATTTGATCGAGCACAAACAGGACATCCCATACTTTCGTATAAGAATCAAACAGGTGACACCCTACACCTTGTATTACACCGTCAGATACAAGAAGACATACACAATGCCATGAACCAGAGTTTCTTCCAGGCATCTCTTTGGGGGGGGGGGGGGGGGGGGGGGGGGGGGAAGGGGGGTTGGGGGAGAGAAGGTGAACGAAATTGAATTTAAATGGAAGATATAGACTTTAAAAAGTGTCCCCCCCCCCGACACTAACAGTCAACAATAGGAAGAGCCACGTGAGTATAGAAAAACTCTTGACGGGTCTCAACAGTAAGTTGCTACAACAGCCAACAGTAGTTTAGAACTAGCTGCCGTGGACCGACAATGATGTGCAACAATTAGTCGCAACAATATACGACAACCTTCAACACAGCCCTCACATAACCCCTGGTCAGACCCCCCCCCCCCTCCCCTTGACGTGTTTTAAATCGCGTCTAAATATTTGCCTCAATGACAGACGGCGCTCGTCTCGAACAGTGAGAGTAAAAATAGAGACGGGGGTGGGGGCAGGTAATTAACGTCATAATTACCCATTGGGGTAACTGGACACTTCAGCTGTGGGATACAAGTATTACAGACTCTGTACATGCAGACAACACAAAAGAACACATTGAGACCTGTATTGTTGCATGTGCAGACGTGTGTAATAGCTAATGTTTCAGTCAAAAACTTCATTACTGTAGCTAGCATTAAGTGAAACTTTGGTCAGTACGGGGGGGGGGGGGGGATGCTTGGACGTGTCGTATTTTCTAAAGCCGGACAGTTAACCCCATCCTATCTAAAGCCGGACAGTTCACCCCATCCTATCTAAAGCCGGACAGTTAACCCCATCCTATCTAAAGCCGGACAGTTCACCCCATCCTATCTAAAGCCGGACAGTTCACCCCATACTATCTAAAGCCGGACAGTTAACCCCATCCTATTCTATCTAAAGCCGGACAGTTAACCCCATCCTATCTAAAGCCGGACAGTTAACCCCATCCTATCTAAAGCCGGACAGTTCACCCCATCCTATCTAAAGCCGGACAGTTCACCCCATCCTATTCTATCTAAAGCCGGACAGTTAACCCCATCCTATCTAAAGCCGGACAGTTAACCCCATCCTATCTAAAGCTGGACAGTTCACCCCATCCTATCTAAAGCCGGACAGTTAACCCCATCCTATCTAAAGCCGGACAGTTAACCCCATCCTATCTAAAGCTGGACAGTTAACCCCATCCTATCTAAAGCCGGACAGTTAACCCCATCCTATCTAAAGCCGGACAGTTCACCCCATACTATCTAAAGCCGGACAGTTAACCCCATCCTATCTAAAGCCGGACAGTTAACCCCATCCTATCTAAAGCCGGACAGTTAACCCCATCCTATCTAAAGCCGGACAGTTAACCCCATCCTATCTAGTCGGAAGTTAACCCCATCCTATCTAAAGCCGGACTGTTAACCCCATCCTATCTAAAGCCGGACAGTTAACCCCATCCTATCTAAAGCCGGACTGTTAACACTATCCTATCTAAAGCCGAACAGATAGGGTCTTAAAGCAAAATATTTTCAGTCGCTGCATTGGTAACGTCGAATTCAAAATATAAACTTTGAAATGGGAAGAATAGATCTAGTTAAATTGATTTGTTGTAGTAAAACTCGTCGCAACAATAGTTCGTCCACCTTTACCACTCTCATTCGACCACAAAGCACAGCATCAAGCCAAAATGGTACATTGGCTGACGTCAATAATACACAACATGGACGGACAAGGCCGACAGAAGAAAGGCATACGCGAAAAAGCCCAACAAAAACACAACGATGTGTCTACATGTATTTTATAATTTATCTTTTACCTGGTATTCAAATAAATATGTAACAAAATTTGAGGCTGCTGTGTAAGTTATCTTATTGTAGGTCTAGTACTTTTACTTATTGTTAAGATTAAAGTCGTACTATTATAAAAACCCACAATGCTTTTACAGTTGATAAATATGTTACTAAATACACTAAAAAAAAAAACCATCTATATTTATAAACATCAAAAAAAAAAAAAAGTGACAATTCTTAACAAATAAATTATAAAAAAATTCAATACAAATTTGTGCCTTTTTTCGATAAAATTTTCATTTGCGATTTTTTTCAGTGACTTCTTTTAGGCGTTTATTTCATGTGACCTTTCTTTCGCGTTCAGCACTGTTAACCCCACCCTATCTAAAGCCGGACTGTTAAACCCACCCTATCTAAAGCCAGACTGTTAACCCTACCCTATCTAAAGCCGGACTGTTAACCCCACCCTATCTAAAGCCGGACTGTTAACCCTACCCTATCTAAAGCCGGACTGTTAACCCTACCCTATCTAAAGCCGGACTGTTAACCCCACCCTATCTAAATCCGGTGCGTGATGGAGATCGTCGGTAGGTGAATCAGTTGCATCCAATCACATTCGGCTGACGTCTTTTGTATTGTATGAACGTCACTGGTACTTAAACTATTGTTAGGGCGATTGATCAGTTCCTTACCCAAAATACCAACTAGAACAGTAGTTGCATTACACAACCAGAGGAAGTAACTTCACTAAGAACAACCCTAAGAACGTCGGATCAAGTAACACAACAAACACGCCGAACTAACTATACACTTGCTAGTGTAAACAGGGCGTGGGAAGTCTGTCCAACAAAGTAGAAGATACAAAAATATCCGGTGTTCTTAAGTACTGTCTTGATGGCAATTGTGATAGGCGACAGGAACAGTAACATCCAGTTCTATATGAGGGGGGGGGGGGTAATAATCTGTGAATATCGACATACAAATGAGCGCTAGGCCTACAATCTTGTAAAAAATTTATTGTGTTCATGTGATATAGTATCTACACACCATCGCGAAACATGGGTAAAAAAATAAAACAGCGGTAACGTAAACAAAACATCAACTCGTGTAGTCTGGATTGTCTCCCCTGGGTCACGATTATCTCCCTGCTCCAGAGATTTAGTACACATTTTTAAAGTGCCGCCGTTAGAGATAACGACTTAAGTGTAGCGAAACAAAAATAAAACAACCAAATTAATAATCACGTAATTAAAAAAAAAGTCTATTAAAAATATAATCACAAACCATTCATTCGAGAATATTCCAATATTCAACAAGAGTTCGACTCTACTTACTGGTTGGTTTGGTCATTGCCAGCTGTCTCTTGACGTGACATAATCTTCCACAGTAACAAACATTCGCTGTTGTTTTAATAGTTTTATCTATTCATCTTTATATGGGTCAAGAACTGTACGCAAAATGTTACAGGCGAAAAGTTGAAATAGGCCTACATTGGTAAACAATGTAGACAAGTGCCTAACGCCGGAACAGGCCTAGAGTTGATCCAGATTTTCGATATTGATATAGGCCAAACGATGTAGACAGATGCCTAACGATGTTGATACAGGCCTTAGAAAGTTGATACAGTCCTTACAAAGTTGATAGTTGACCAATAGTGTTGATACAGGATCAAATACGGTAATCCAAAACCAACATTACAAGTTGATGCAGAGAAAACAATGTTGATACAGGCCTAACGAGGTTGATCCAGGGCTGATAATGTTGATACAAGCACACTGATGTTGATACAGGATCAACGACCAACACTATAGATACAGGCCTAACGATGATGATCCAGGGCTAATAATGGTGACACAGGCCCACCGATGTTGATACAGGACCAACAATATTGATACAGGACTAGCAAAATATCCCGTCTAAAAACTAGGTGTATCCTTTTACTGTCCTAGGCTAACATCTCACCAGTCTAACCTAACGCACGTCACTACCGACCAGCAGCTGGCCACTACACACCACATCACGTGCAGCCTTGGGAAAAATACATGGATAGAAAACAACAACGATTGAAACGTAATTCCCCCACATCACCAAATAGAAAGAAAAAAATGTATTCAAACTGCAAAGAATAAAAGGTCGTCAAGGCTAACAACGATCAACACACTGCATGAGACCCCCCCCCCCCCCCCCCCCCCCCCGCACTTCCTAAATAACGAGGTCCTGCTCAGGTCGGCGATACGTGCGCACATTACACCACTTAAGGGCGTTATTTTTGGAACTAAAAACATTAACACCAGCCCGGATTGACTTGTGTAAAAACAACGTGGCCTACGTCTAAATAAATGAAAAACAAAGAACAAAACCAATATTTTCTTGCTTAAACTGTATCACAAAACAAAGCTGTCTTTTTTTACCATAATGCAAGTTGTAGAAAAAAATAGCCAATATTTGTAAAAATAAACCGCCAAACATATTTTAACTAGGATTTATTGAGTTACATCCCTTGGTATGTGAAGAGTTTTATTTATATCCTGATGAAATCTACGCACGTTGCATTTTTAATGAATGTGTGAAAACACCTATTTGTTGATTGACTAAACCTTCACTAAAAACATGATAAAAAACTTCTAAATGCTAAGATATTTTAACTAGATATATTGTTTTACTTTTAATGAAACCATATTTTATGACAGAAAATATTTTACTTGAAAACATTTCTTCACATTGTAACACAACGAGAAAAACACATGCTCACCACGGACACAAAATATATGAACCTAATTGTACAATAGCTGGACACAAGACAGGTGAGCCTCGTTGTACAATACCTGGGCACAATATGTGCCTGCACTAATTACAATAACAATGTCACGTCAAATACAGCACAGGTAAAAAATTTTTTTACCTACTACACCTCATTAACAACACAATGAACACCTGTCACACAACAACCCACCCCTCCCCACCAGCAGTTGTTTCACCTGAACTGGTGTCCCAACAACCAGCCGGTATTGATCTGTCCCCATCATCATACAACCAACAACAGCTTTAGGCCTACAGGCTCATTCAAAGTTAAAGATAAAGCTCTTTAGTACACCCTTGATAATAAATTTTAGAAATGCTATTTGGCTGTATAGTAGAACAGCTGTTAGACATAGGAATAATAGAACACAGTAGGTCTTTACAGTACTAGTTGACATTCAAAAGTCAAACACTAAACATTAATAGGTATCAAACCAAAGTTAGCACCAAACAATACTAGGTATAAGACCAAAGTTAGAACAAACAGTACTTGTATCAGACCAAAGTTAGAACAAACAGTACTTGTATCAGACCAAAGTTAGCACCAAACAGTACTTGTTTCAGACCAAAGTCAAACACCAAACTGTACTAGGTATCACAAAATTAGCACTTGGCAGTAGTAGATATCACAAAGCTACCACTGGGCAGTTCTAGATATCCTACTGAAAATGTGTACCAATTGCTACGTATATTTTGCACTACTCATTACTAAATATAATATCAAACTCAATATCTGTTTATCATGGTACAAGAATAAATATAACTAAAATATGTCACAATGTCTAAACCCAACATCAACATCTAACACACTTCAAGAATGCACATATTGTTTAAGTACCCAACAGTGTTAGATGTTTATATACAAGTACTATACAGTACTATATAGCTGTGATATTAAAATACAGAAGAAAATATTTACCTCATTTCTCCAGTGTTAAACTCAGTCTGTGAGTAAAAATCAGGCCATGCTATTTAAACATGCAAATTATAAGCTAGTTTTGGTGAGTCATTTCATCACATGCATCTGTTGAGTAAAGGCATTAAGTTATACAAGTCAAGGAGGTGAAAGGTTAGATGGTGTTATCTAAATTAATTGCAAATTTATTTATTTATTTGCAAAAAATTAAGGAAAAATAAGGATTTAAACAAATTGTTTGCCTAGTGTCAACAGGATCTGTCCCAAAAATGATAATTAGTGCAGAAAACAAATTCAGAGCTAAATTGAAAAGCACATTATAAACATAATTTAGCAAATGTATGAAAAACTATGCAGCTTCAGCATTCATTTCTATAACATCTATGTTAATTTAATTAATTATAAATCAATGAGAAATCCAAAAGCCAAGCCAGGTTAAAAAACGAATACATTAGTGAATAGTATTGCACCAACTAATTGCCTGTCATCTTCCCACTGAGCGGAAATGGACTAACTTCACTAAGACCAGAAGAACGCAAGCTTCGGGTTTATGGGTTCTATTTTCTTTTATTCCTAAGTTGCAGTGAATGAAAACGCTGTTTGTCTCACTAAATCTCATTACTATTTGAAATTTGAGACAATAATAAAGTGAAATAAGTACCTTACTATGCCAGAAATATTTGGGGAATTTTAGTTTTTAATAAAGAAAAGTACTTTTAGTGTGGAATTTTCCCCCTTTAAAACTAAACTCAATTTTGAGTGATGTTTGTCTAAACACACAGCTTAAAACTGTAAAAATATATTACTAAGATATTTTTAAATATTTATTTTAAATTAGTGATACATTTTCCAAAATTTGAACTGAATAAAATATAATAGTAAATACAATTCTACTTTGATTTTGATGACAGCATTTCTATGATCTTTATCATCATACCTATTTCTCGTAACGAGTGAATGAAAAATTTCCAATTATTTTAATTATTATTTAAATATGTAAATTAAACAATGGCGAAGCTTTTAAAATAAATTGATTAAATTAAACAATAAACATGACAAATCAATATTAAGTATTGAAATGTTAAGCTTTCTTTGGAGTTAGAGAAGAGAGAAAAGATTTTAATAGGCATTTATTGTTTACAATGTCCGTCTTTTTGTTTTAGGCCAATATTGTAACTCAACGCTGAACGAATTCTGATGCACCGATTTTGTTCAAACTTTCAGATACACTTGTCTCCAAAGTAAAAGACAATGCAAGAATATCCCATTCATCATCTAATTAGATATTAGTTATTAATGTAAAAGATTAATACATTTAAGAACAAAAGAAGAAGAAACAGGAATTAGTACAAGAATGATTACGAGGATAGACTTTGGTCAGTTTCGATGGTTGCTGACCACGGAAGATAAGAAGAGGCAGATTATTTTCTTTTACAGATCGCAAGCAAGATATCAGGTTTTATAGAAAATACTTAAGTTGAATATAATGTATGTGGTGTTAACTTCCTTAAAAATGTATTAGGGCTAAAGAAGAAAATTAAACACATAGATGGCCTTTATTTTAATAACCTTACATTTGAATGCAGTTAAAATAAAAAAATAAAATACACTTGCTTAATTTAGTAGAAAGGATTGGTTGCTTTTGAATAAAATATCATATACTTAAATTCACATTTTGATATTTTAACGACATTTACTCTTACTTTTTAGTAAAAATGGAATTTTTTATTTTTTTTTATCAATTTCTAAGGCTTTTTATTAAGCAAATCTTGAATATTGTAATATTGAATCTTGATTATAGTTTATACCAGGGTTTAACAATCCTCCATAGATCTGTTCTGATGCGTTTATTGCTGTTTAGTGTTACATTTAATTTATACTGGCTGTTGGCCAGTGTCAGATATAATAACGGATTTCCAAATCCATGTTTTTTACATCTAGATTAGATTGTTCATTGACATTTTAAAATACTACTCCTATATTTACTATATTTTATAGTTTTAAGATTTCTCTTCATTTGCAATGTAGTGAGTGGTGATTAGGCCCAGTACTGAGTACCTAGTAAATTTACTGAACTGGAGTAGGGAACTCAGAAGTGGCTGGAGGAACTCATATTATGATATTTTAGTTTTAGTAGCCTAAGAAATCTGATTCAGTCCTAAGAGAAAGTGATGAGTGTGATTTGTCAAGTTGAAGTTAAGTCATAAGTTATTAAGTTTGTTTGTTGTTTAAAATTTAAAATAGTCACTCAGTGTAGTCACTGTCTGTAGTGTAAGATGTAAGATGTGTAATGTGTAAGTGTAGTAGTAGTGACTTAGTGTAGTGTATGGTCTTTACTTTACACTCTATCAGATTACTAGTAGGCCTATTGGGAATTTTTTCCTAATTATCATAGAATGATAAAATGGACCCAGATTAATCCTATAATATACCCCATTGATAAAAATATCAAATTTATCATTCTAGGCCTAATAGTTTTTTTTATATGAATTTTCAAAGTTATGTGTTTAACTTGTTATGTTTCCTTGTAACCTGCATTCCAGACGTGTGATTGGCTTTAAACTTGCATACCAATGTTGCTATTAAAGATATAATGATAAAACTTTGCACATTTGTACTCAATGATATAGGCAATAGAAGTCTACAAATAAAATAAAAATTAGAAAAGAGGTAACTAGAAATAATGAAGTTAAATTAAGGGGTGTGGCACTGTTCTATAGTGACTGCCATAAGAGGATTTCCAGACTGCACAGCTAGGTTGCTATTCCATATACCATCATGAAACTTTATATATTAGGACTAGAGCATGTAAAAAATACAATCATGCAAGTAAAATAAACATAGCTAGAGGAAAACTATAAATAGTGAACTTGAATATGGTACAGCGCAATTAGACTCTGATGATTAACTACAGGCTAATATGTTGCACTTCTTTGTTGCTACTATAAAAATAAAGATTAAACTTTACATATTGATTCTGGTGTTAGTAATAAGAATGCTAGTATACATATTGTACAGGTAATGTATAGAGTTAGAACTTACAAGTCAAATACAGCACAATATGATCAAGATACTTAACGATTTGCCATATACATTGGATTTGTGTCCGTGTATAACATGGTAAAAATGTTATTATTAATTTAGAAAATTTTGGTTCTTGTAATGTTTCTGATGAAAAGTGTTGAGGTGTGCTAAAACTCAAAGATTGACATTTCACAGTATTCTTATTTATAAAATGTTTAGTGAAGTTGACGTATCCTTTGATAAATTCTTAAATGACATTAATTAAAGTGTTCATGTTTTCTTTCTATTATAGTTGCCTATAACTAAAA